ATCTTGCACTGGCCTCTCTACTACAAGGAGTCCTGAGTGACTTGAGTGAAAAGGTCACTTTGTGGGACAGAAGTTGCAAAGGCATGCCTGCTCTCTGACGTTTGCTTCTGTTTCTAATTATCATCTTAATCATTAGATCAGACCTTTCATGAGCTGCCACGGAGATGAGTTATACATGTAAATAGCGTGAACTAAGCATTGATTTATGTGACAAACAAAACTATAACAATAAACACAGTATAAACAAGAGCTCTGCAATAGACCAATTGACAGGTGTGTTGGCATCTGTGTGTGGCTCATGACTGGTATGGGAGTGCTCTCGGTGCATTCTTGTCATTGTGGCCTAACAATGCAACTCAAGTGTGGCTCTTTGGCCACAAGAGGTGGTGACGAGTAGACATGATGTTGATAACTGCACCTCAGAATTCCTGGGTTTAAGATCAAATTCTTTATTGCCGAGATAAGCGACAAGCATCATGAGTATATTTAGGAATCAAGGCCTAAAAGCATTATATCCACATGAGACTTAGAATAAAATTAGTGCCATTCCACTTAACATGAGTATGTTGAATTCAACCTTTAACAGTTTGATGAGGTAAAAAAGAGAATAAACAAAATAGGAAAATGTTATTTTTGGCACGGTTAGTTATAAAATATGCCATAAAACAATCTGAATTTAAATACAAGAATACATTGACAAGTATTTAACCCTAAAATATACTTTAAATAATACAGCAAAATAAAAAGTTGTAATCACCAACTTTACACCCACAAGCTTATTATAGTCAAACAACTGGCACCCTTTTGACAAACTTAAATCTTATTGAACTACCCTCCGAGTTCAATGAAGTCTCCTAATTTATTGGCAGTACTCACTTTTGACAAATTCATGAAGTTAAGTAGTTAACTCCTTGAGTTGTACTACTCACTATTGGACCTAAACATGAATTTTTTTTTTTTCTCAATGAGATTTTTCTTAGACTTGACTTTGGTTTTATAAGCCTTTCAAATCATTGAGGTAGATTTTTACTGTTCTGGGTCTGTTTGTCTGAATGAGTTTTCTCTGTGTTTATCTTGTTCTTTATTTAATTTAACTAAAGTGACCAGATATTCTGGCATGATTTTGTTGAGAAAAATGTTGGGGTACACCACACAATGAAAATGAAGACATCCATTTGTCTTGTTTCTTGAGACTCCTACTGGTTAAACAAATTTAATGTAATTAATGCTACTGATACCAGCCAACTAATAAATAAATACAATTCAAAGGTTAAGTCACTTCGAAATATCCAGTCATAAAATGTACAAATTCAGTTCTTTTCTGCATCTCCTCCTCTTAGAAGTCTGAGAGGAAATCATATAAAAAGTGGGTATGTTCCTCAACACTAGAATGTTAAGAAAAAACATTGAGAAACAATAACAATACACATTGTGTCTTAAGGAGGTGAACATGAACAAATATGAAAAATAATTTAAGAACAAGAGCAATGAGCAAATCTACAAAACTTTTATGAGAATTCATTGAAAAACTTCAGCATATAAACAATCTAGAAATTCTCAGTCTCAGGATAATATTACCAATGTTAGGAAAAATTAAAATGGTATTTTGAAAATGAGGTTCCTTACTTTATTTTTGTAAACAGTGATATAGTTCTAGAAAAAAATAAATATTATACAAATCTAATTGTAAAATTTTAAGTACTTTGAACAATATGATGATTTATTGGTAGACAGTGGGTAATTTTATAAATGGTCAACATCTTGTATTAAGCTAAATAAATGAGTTTGCTTGTCTGTCAAAAGCGAGTATATATCCTGTATACAAGGTAGGATGACTTCTTAGGTGTTTTCATGTTAATCATTAAAATATGAGGGTAGTGTACAAACAAAAGTTACAAATAGTAAATCTTCAAGTTAACTAAGGTATATAAATCCACTGAAGAAATAAAATTGAAAGAGCTAACAAATCAAAGGTTATTTTGTCTGTTTCAAAGAGATACTTACAATGAGAAAATATATAAATTAACAAAAGTTAATAAAACGTAAGTTAACAAAGAATTATTTACAAAAGTAAAAAGAAAAGTGCAAAGGCAAAGGTCTGATTTAGTTGTTGTCCACTAAATGGTTTTTGCCATTGTATTTCTGCAAGTCTTGTTCAGCTCTGATACAAATTGCTTTAAAACACCATCTTGTGGACAAAAGGAGGTATATCACCGGTTCTCAACAGATGTGAGAGACTGCAGAAAGGCTAAATCTTATTTAACTCCGAAAACATACTCTTAAAAAATTATTTAAAAATCTAAACATCAAATGACAATTCTTACAGAGAACATATGTTATTATTATTTAAGCTCCATAATATAAGTCACTAAAATTTTAAAGTTTCAACAATGTCATGAAATATAAGCATATGGGATTAGAATCATTAACTAAATTACTTTGATCACAAGATGACAAATTTCAGCGGGTAAGACTGGCTATGTTTCTGTTATGCTTAGGGGAAAAATGTTAATGTCTTCAGTAGGAAAGAACAATGAACAAACTCATGAATAATTTTTCATTTTTTCTTTAGATTACGATGGCCATCATTACTAATTGACGTCATACCTTGTTTTTTTTGCATAGAAAGATTTCTATTTGAAGTGTTAATTTATCTTGGTATAAAATGTTTGATTGGAATTTAAAATATGTATATAGGGCAAAAACAATTTTAATTACTAATTGTCTCATGGCCTATAATTATTTTGTATTTCAACATTTATGTTGAACAAGATAAATTAGGAAATTTGATAATTCTTCCCTGCTGTGGACATTACTGACATCTATGTGAAAGTAAACAAATGTTTTGGAATGGAGTAAAATGATATAAGAGATTTGGCAACCACCAAGTTATTTAGGAGAGAATTTCTTACCCTACTTTGGGGCCTAAATTATCCATTTTCTTTTTTTATTAAAAAAAATAGGCAAATGCCAAGTATCCACTTTATCTGGTGTTTATATTAGCTGGACCCAGAATGGGGTATCGTTTATCCAGAGATGAGGCAGGAACAAGTGTTGGAAGGTAAATATTACAGTAAGGTGAGAAAGGCTCACCCCACGGGGACACAGCCCTGTTTCGATGGTTTTGCCAAAGATATATTTAGTCATATGTGTCAGTTATAAAAAATGAGTTTGACAGCTCTACTTTGTAATACACATCATATACCATTATAACCCCACCATACTCAAATCATCTGAATAAATACAAATTCTTGACACAGGAATAAACCACCCCAGCATTAATGGAATTTAGAAAAAAAGAAAAAAGAAAAAAAAAAGAAGGTTCTTAAATATACAATTTGTAAGAAAGAATGCATGACATAATCTGTGGAATTAAAATGAACAGAAGTTATGAAACAAGGAAATGAATTGAGTCTTTTGATGTAGATGAATGGATCAACTCAAAGAAAACAAAGGAAAATACATTGATCACCACCATCAGCAAAAAGTTCATGAAAACATTAAAATGCTAAAATAAAATAAATACTTCTAAATTAGTAAAAAGGTATAAGGATAAACAATCTACTAATTGAAAAAATAAATTTTGAAAACATAAAATATCTAGCTTCATGACAAATTCAAATAAATTAATGAATGGCAGATGAGCTGTAAGCTTTCAGAAAAGTCAACGAATTAAAAGCTCCAGATATACACATAGCACCAGATTTAGATCTTTGTATATATATGTTTTTTTGGATAAATGATCATTGTACTAGAAAATGCATATGCATGTTCCAATTGTATAATTTTAAAACACAGCACCATTGTAAGTATTGCACAAGAAAGAGAATAAAGAACAAAATCAATTTAAAGTTAAAACCATTTGAAATAAATAAAATAACCTTGGAAAAAAATAAATAAACTTGGAATTGAAATATACAACATAATTCAATATGAAATAACCAAAAGGTTGTATGTATGCACAACCATGTAGATATCCCTGACCAGCAGTTCATTAATCTACAAAGAAAATCAGTTCAACTCATTGCTGCATTTGAACAAAGCCTGTCTTAATCTAGGCATGCTCCCAATGCAACTCTGTTCACAGCTTTTCCAATTTCAGTGGGTTGCCTTCCTAAACTCACTTTTCAATGAACAGATGAAAGCTGTCATCCTAGCGGCCTGATTTGGCTAAGGTGGAATCGGCCCTGTTTCTTGAAGAGGCGAGAGAGACCTCTTGGTTTCTTTGACAGGAGGGCTGTGGGCGCGGCAGGCTCTCAGCACCGGTGGGACCCAATCCTCAGATTTCAGCAGCATCCTCATGCCCAATGTTCCAGAAAATGAGTTGCTTTCAACCCACAGTCTCTCAAAGAAAATGTATGTTAGACAATACCAGTATCCTTTAGTGATGTGGTTGGCGATCTCTACATTTCCGTTCCCACCCAGAAGACGCAGTCTCTTGCACCCCTTGTGGTTCCCCCTGAAGCGAGTGTTAACTCTTTGGTCTGAGCACCGGTTGTATCTCCGGTCCCACGGCTTTCTGTCGCTGCCTGTAGCCCCTGCTGCGGCTTTCTGGGGAAACGTGATTCTCCATAAGAGCTTCTGGGCTTCACCTTATCCACGTGCATCTGTCACGCCACGGGACAGGGAAAGGGTTTCCTTTCCAGCCGCTACTCATCTTGTCCTTTGTCCTGATGGCCGGGCCTCCTCTTATGGCCTGAGAGTGATGAGGTCAGAAGGATAATGGATACAGGGGTCCAAAGTGCTTGCTGGGACCAAAGACAGCTTGGTGCCTTCTCCACCGAAGACCTCTTGGGGGAAAACAGCTTTATGTTTCCCAGCGGAGGAACTCAGTGAAGGGACTACAGTGCTAGGCTTTCCTTGTGGGACTCGTACACAATGGGGCGTCGTTTCTTCCTTTCCATGCCGTACATATTCACGCCGGTGATGACTGCTTTGAGTTTGGCTCATTATACAGATCTAAGAAAATCGTTTTAATACTTGGCTATATGGGGTTTGGGGGGCTCCCTGATAAAACAGCCTCCTGGTAACCCCTCAAAAATATGATACAGAGTGAAACTCTTATTGCCTATCTATTTCTCTGCATAAGTAGGATGGATGTAGGGTGATGGAAGAATTCTTAAGCTATAAAAAGTAGTCAAAAAACATTCAGCAGGAGCAATGCACTATATCAAAAAAGATGGCATTTTTTAGCAATGACAGCAAATTTAACCACCAAGAAAAACCTCAAGATAACTCTGAAACTTTAAAATTCAGAAGTCAAAGGCCAAATACAAGTTGATGAGACTACAAAATGTACCTCACCATCAGTCTACTAAATCATAAAATGTAATTTTCTCTTGAAGAAGAGCTAATGATAAGATTTGCTTGTGTGTTTCATAGAAAACCCTGAATAAAAATCAGTAATGCTGAAGCAAAACATATGGAATGAATTTGGGAAAAATTCTAAAAAATGCTGATATCGCAATCGCTATAGAAATAGGATTCAAATTGTTGCTTTTAATGTCTGCCTACACAAAAAAAGAAAGAAAGAAAGAAAAAAGCCACCCACATATCATGAGGGCTTGACCGTATGAAGATAGCTCCAACAGCAAGAGGATATCACCCAAAATCAAGTCCTCCTCCAGTGTGCTTATTTCCCACCTGTCCGCTGACGGGCATGAGATACAGGATAGAGGCAATCTTCTGGGTTACATCTTCCATAAGGTCCTGGGGGTCCCTGGGGACCTGGGGCACCTGGTGGTCCTGGCAACCCTGGAGCTAAGGAAATAAAAGACCCCATCACAATGCAGATCACATATGGCTCTTTCTTCCTCACTCCCACCGACATTATTCAGCCTCTCCTGTAGCAACGCATAAGGGCATAGGGGAAAAGGAATGGCTCCTTGTCTTAGAAGCTTGCTTGTGTTGTACAGATAAATATCACTATTACCTGAAGTCCCAGGGAGACCTGGACTCCCTGGAATTCCAATTCCAGGTTCCCCTCTTTCTCCTTTCTGTCCTCGGTAGCCTAAGGGAGAGAGATATATAAAAAAAGAGAGAGTCACAAAAGTAAGAGAATTCTATGGCAGCACAGTACAAATAAAAGCCACGTTTCTAGCCTAGGATATTTCTGTAATTTGTTCACTTAACATAGAGCCAATATACTACTTTAACTGTCTGTTTTGCATTAACTACATATCAAACTTACATGCCAGATTAGATGCAATAGGCAATGAGGATCTTAGAAATATGCAACTACTATAAGAAGTACAACTAGTCATGTGTTTGATAGTGAGACTTTGGGTACTGAAAATGATACGTAAGTAACTCAAATCAATCATTCCAATCTTCCTTCAAATAGCTATGACAAGATGTGCGAGCGTCTTCAATAGAAATTCTGACTGGAGGGTAGGTTCAGGCTAAATATAAATATACTGAGAGTTCTGCTTACTACAAGGACAAAATAATTTGACAGCAAGAAACTGGACCTTAGTCTAAGAATTAAAGGGAATGAAAGGAACAAAAAATCATCCTTTTAATAAACGACAGTAAGAGTGTGACTATATGCGAATTCACCCATCTCGGAGTCTGGAGAGGACAAAATCGGGACTTGATTCAAATGACTGTCTATAGCAACGTGATATCCTTTCTAGCAAAGTTACAACAGCAACCTCCTGTTTAATATGGAACTTCAGCAGTTCCAGAATGTAAGGGAAGACCGAGGGATCCTTCTAAACTCACTTCATCAATTTAAGCTACTTTAACCAAAATAATTTAGGCCTAGGATCTCTGTACATTGTAAGACAAAAATCACTCTTGTTACTGAATATGCTTATTATTACCTCAGGTAGAAAGATACAGAGGAGTTTGTGCCTCTTCTCCATGCTTTAAGAAAGCATAAAACATTTTAATCTGGGTTTTATATAATGTCTTCATCCATGTAAGACATTGAATAAAAGGTTCTGTGGCTGTAAGTTTTACAGTGATGGAAATGGAGTTTTAATTTCCAACACACTCAGACTTAAACCATGACTCCTGGTCCTGATGGAACAGAGCGGTCATGCAGAGTCATGTGAACACACAGCAAGGCTAATGTATCCTACTTAGTCCTAACTTAGTTATGCCTGTCCATAAAGGTGTGTTATTACAGTGGACGTGATAGGAGGAGAACATTTAATGTCCTCTATGAACAGTATATAGGACCGATTATTTACCATTATTGCTCAGAATTAGACATCAGTTGGGAGCAATAGTCTTGACTTGACCATACAGTGTATACATTATTATCCAAATAACATTAGCAATGTAATCACCACATCATTATTTCTTGGTTTCGGAGGTATGACCTGACCATAAATGTGAAAATATTCAAAAATAGGATTACATTCAGGATATATTTTAAGGTGCATACTAGAAATATACCCAATGGGAATCTTCACACATTTATATCTGAAAACTATTTTATAGACACTCAATACAATCCTAGATTCTAGAGAGAGCAATGGCTTGAACATGTGACCCAGTGCCCTAAATTGATACACATTCAACTTCAAAATATTCTCAGGATTTCTTGTATATAAATGACTTTCATTTAACACATGTAAATAATAAGAAATGATGTTTGTACTTGGGGTCATTTTGAAAGCACCCTTTAAATGCATTATTTAAACTTTCCTGCAGTAAAATAACATTTCATGCCTGAGGTATATTTGATAGTCCAACCTAGGTTTTACAGTTACAGAAAGATTATAAAGTTGACCCTCAAGCTATTTCAGTAGGTGCTTAAGATCAGGCTAAAAAATGAGGAAGAAAAAAATATGACTAAAGATATACAAACTTAAAAAAAATAATATATATTTTATTGATTTTAGAGAGGAAGGGAGAAGGAGAGAGAGAGAGAGAGAAACATCAATGATGAGAGAGAATCACTGACTGGCTGTCTCCTGCAATTCCCTACTGGGGATTAAGCCTGCAACCCAGGTATGTGCCTTTGGCCAGAATCAAACCTGAGACCCTTCAGTTTGCAGGCTGATGCTCTATCCATTGAGCCAAACCAGCTAGGGCAAGATATACAAACTTTTGATTAACAAGAGAATTATTAACAAGGTTGCAACACAATTCCAAATGACTAATATATCTGTTAAAATTTATATATTTAAATTTAGTTCTCAGATTTTAACTAAGGCAAAAATATGTTATTCCACATGAATTTAAGTGAACATGGTATCACAAAACAAGAATTAATAATTTGTATATTTGTATAAGAGATTGACTATACACTTTTCCTATCAAATGTATTAATTTATTTGTATAGATCTCTCAATTCTTTGGTTAATAACAACCTACTATTAATAGACAAAGCTGTTGAATTGCACAAGGTCCCAAACTCATCATGGATGAAGGCTGCCATAAAGGGTCTTATTTTAGAATTGCTTCACAACAAAATTTCAGATTAGAATGCTAATAAAGTCAATAACAGCTTTCTTAAAAAAAATATATTTTATTGATTTTTTACAGAGAAGAAAAAAAAGAGAGGGACAGAGAGTTAGAAACATTGATGAGAGAGAATCATCGATCAGCTGCCTCTCGCACACCCCTACTGGGGATGTGCCCACAACCGAGGTACATGCCCTTGATCGGAGTGAACCTGGGACCTTTCAGTCCACAGGCTGATGCTCTATCCACTGAGCCAAATTGGTTTCAGCAAATAACAGCTTTCTTACTATCTAGAATTAAAGTTTTCACCCACTTAGGGTAGGCCTTCTCTGAAATTTGGAAAAAGACTAAAAGGCGGGCCTATTTGCAAAGGCACATGTATTTTCATAGTCTGGAAGTCCGCAGGGTGACTGCCTGACATCACTGTAGTTTATGTAAGGAAGCAGAAATCCAACCACAGCAGCGTCCTCATTTAAAGCACCTAGAGGAATTAAGTAAAGAAATCAGGGTGCTGCTGTAGTTTTTCAGGTGGCAGGCTTCATTTATTGCCGGTAGGAAGAATTCCATCTTAATGCCAGGGATATTCTTCCAAAGTTATAGATCTCTGCATCTGTACCTCTACTGGGCAAACGAGACCAGCAGAGGAGTGTTACTGGCATTTCTTCAGGTGGGGGCCTGCCTCAAGCTTCATCAGTTGTTCGGCCACCCTGGTTTCTTCTGCTAATGGACCACAGCACCCTTCCGTCATGTTGACATGCACATGCCTCCCATTACTTAAGCTCCCTACTGCTGACAAATTTTAAAGGTCAAATCCATATCCGTCACATGCACTACTCTATGGGCCACTGGCTTACAAATAACAGCAAGTTTCCTTCCTTCTAATAAACCAGTAACAGGTAAACTTTGAAAGTTTAAAAAGTAAGAAAAATAATTCCCAGCAGTGTCTTTTCAAAACCGATGGAGGTTAAGTGCAACGGCTGGGCCTGTTTTCTCCTGACCCCACATTCACACAGTGGGGGACACATGGGGCTGTTTGTCCTGAACGGACAGGGCTCTCCGCTGTGGCCTCTGTTTGTCCCGGCTTTCACAGAGGTGGAGAAATAGCTATGTTTTGGAACAAGTTGAAATAAAGTTCTTTCTCTTAAACTCGTTCAAGAGGCTCAGGTCTGTTAGGAAAATGCTCCTCTCTTGCTTACACAGGAGAAGACAGCTGGATGGAGGCTTCTTTGATCCTAACGTGGCACAATCTCCCTCATCCCAGGCGGGACAAATGAGGAGGGCCGCCCTGCAAGGCAGACTGAGGTGCAACGCGCACCAAGGAAGGTGCCCTCTGTGGGCAGTGGGAAGGCAAGAATCAGAAACCCACGGGGTGGTTAAAACATAAGACTGTTTGGAAATGCTTCTGAATTTAAAGAAGATCCCAACAGTCACCCACTTTGAGAATTTAGAAAAAACATAAATGAGGTGACCCAACTCAAATCAGAATGATTCATTATTTTAACTTAGAGATCAGGGGGCTCCATTAGGGCCCCCCAGTTTTCATGATCACAATCTAGGCAGGAGCAGTACCTCTGTTTTCCAAGTTGGATCATGTACTTCTGACACTCTCTTATGGGTCTTCTCCTTGCTTTTTACACATTTTCCGCTTTTTAAAATAAGCACAGGAACCTAGTGAGACAGACCCCTTAAAATGTGTGTCCTTCCCTACATATCTATAATAAAGGCAAAATATGCTAATTAGACCGGATGTCCTTCCTGACGAAGCCAGGGCTCTGAGGGAAGTCGAAGTCCCCGGTGCCAGAGGGAAGCCAATGCCAGCAGCTGAGGGAAGGAAGGCCTACTCTTGCACAAATTTCCTGCATTGAGCTTCTAGTAGTAATATAATAAGGGACTCATTCTATAGTGCATATTTCAAACCAAATCACTTTATTTCAAATAAAAACGGATTTCTTTTCTGAAAAATACTGAAAAGCTAATTCTTTTAGAAGTTTCAGAGGAGCCACCATCAAACAGAATTCATGAGTGGGCAGACACGCTGCTGCTCAGCGCCCACATTTCCTTTCCCTCTCTGGGCTGTGTCCTTACTTCAACCTTGTCTCAGACTCAGCCAGGCCATGTGTTAAGAGGATGAATTCAGCCAGCGACATCTGAGGTTTATATGGCCACTAGGGTAGCAGTTTTATATGCATTTTTTTTTCCTTTTCTTTTTGAGAAAACTTTTACATTGAGCAAAGCTTTGAAACTTCAAAGCTTTTAAATGTATAAATTTATCCTCTGAGCACTTCATTCTATTTATCTAGCAGAGAGTAGCACTTCAATTCCTTGTGAACTCCTGGGGAGGCATCAAAAACCAAGCGGTAGCCTCTTGATTTCTTTTTTTCCAGTCAGATTTCTCTGTGGCTTTATTTTTTTTTTAATTTACTTGTTTATTTGTTTTTGGTTAACCCTCACCTGAGGCTATTTTTCCATTGATTTTTAGGGGGAGCAGAAGAGAGAAAGATGAGAGAAACATCGATGTGAGAGAAACACATTGATTGGCTGCCTCCTGCATGGGTCCGGGTTGGGGTGAAACCTGCAACTAAGGTATGTGCCCTTGACCAGAATCGAATCCAGAAGGCTTTGGTCCACAGGCTGATGTTCTATCCACTGAGCAAACTGGCTTAGGGCTTCTCTGTGGCTTTAGAGAGAATTATCAGTATAGCTTGATGACAGGCAAATATTCCTTCAAAAGTGAATTCCATAGTTTGCAAGTTTTATTTTTCTGCTGCATTTCTGGCATTTAACAAATACTGCAAAGGAGATATCAGGGAAACCCTGCGGAGTCACCAAGCTGAATTATACTCAAGACATGTCTGTTGTCAGAAACCCTCAGATGAGACCAAAGTTTTATCAACTTCACTAAACTTTGGTTTTAAAAAAATTGAAAATCATTTGGGCAAGTCTTTCAAATTCAAGAATTGCATCCAAAATGTCTATTAGGAGTGGAAGCAGGCTGTAAGATCTCCTCAGCAGAACTGCAGGTAGAACTCATAGGAATCACATCACGAAATGGAAGTCTGGTTTCCAAAAGCTTTGCTGACACTGTGGACTTAGCCTTGCCTTTGAGATCCTTCCAGGTGGGCCTTCCCTACCCGGGAAGGGAGCCTGGAGACAGATGTTGTGTGGACAGGTGACTCCTTGGCATCCTGACTTTCCACTGTCCTTGTCCTCTCCAACTGCCACTGTTTGAGACATCTGTCCAAGGCTTTTCTCCTAAAAGTGTTAACAGTCCATACTCTTCAGGTCTTTTGAGGCGTCACACATCTTTAGATGGGCTTTCAAGCTCTTTGTTCCAGTCTCATAAACTCTAACTTCAGAACAGACTCAACTAATGAAAGATAATAATTAACCACCCTCTATACAACAGTGTACACACAGAAGGCTGATTCTACAGTGCACCTGATTCTACACTTTTCTTCTGATTATCTGCCAAACTCTCTATTATGGATCAGGACAGCCCTCACCCATGCAACAGGCCTCTATCCTATCTAATAAAAGAGTAATATGCAGATTGACCATCACTCCAACACACAAGATCAAGATAGCTGCCCTCAAGTGGTCAAAGATCCTGCCCCCATGCAGACACAAGATGGCCACCACAATATGGCCAGCAGGGGGGGGGGGCAGTTGGGAGGGACCAGGCCTGTAAGGGAGGCCAGTTGGGGGTGATCAACACTGAAGGGGAGGGCAGTTAAGGGTGACCAAGCTGGCAGAGGAGGGAAGTTGGGGGCAAACAGGCTGGCAGGGGAGCAGTTAAACTTCAATTAGGCTGGCATGGGAGTAGTTAGGGGGTGATCAGGCTGGCAGGCAGAAGCAGTTAGGGGCAATCAGAAAGGCAGGCAGGCGAGCAGTTGGGAGCCAGCAGTCCTGGATTGTAAGAGGGATGTCTGACTGCCCGTTTAGGCCCAATCTCATAGGATCAGGCCTAAATGGACAGTCGGACATCCCTCGAAGGGTCCCAGATTGGAGAAGGTGCAGGCTGGGATGAGGGACATCGCCACCCTCTTACCCCCATGCACGAATTTCATGCACCAGGCCCTCTAGTGTGTGTGTGTGTGTGTGTGTGTGTGTGTGTGTGTGTGTATGTATGTATTGCCTAACTGTGATTAGCATGTTATAAATATGGAACGTTAAAGAACTGGTAAACAAATATTATACCTGAGGACTTACCTTGAGGTCCAGGATCTCCTGGTGGCCCAGGTAACCCATCCTTTCCTGGTGGCCCAGGCCTCCCATGAGCTTGAGAAGCCAACATTGCCGCTGGTAGCTTGAGTTGGGAGAGGAACACAGCCATCCTCTCTGTATTTATGAAAGGAAAAATAATATATCATGCTATAAGAATACTTTTAGATTAAAAAAAAGCCAAATATTTTTTAATATGAAAGTCAATGAAGAAAAAGATTTGGCTTTCAATTTAAGCACATCTAATTTACCAAGTGGTCTAATTGCTGATTGGTGATTGGTCAAATAAAATGGGTTGCGCAAAGTTGTTTGAATATAGATGAGGACCAGGTGTGCTGATCACAGGATCTGAGAGTGTATGGTGCATCAGACATACAGCCGATCTAGTGGACAGAACAGTTACCTAGAATCTAAATAACCTCTGGCAATGACTTGTGGAGAGAATTTAAGTATGAACCTAAAAATATAGTTTTAAATAAATTTAAGCTACTTTTCAACAATCTTGTGAATGTGCAGTGATTTAAAATAGGTTTACAAATTCTTTGACATGCCCTTCCAAACAGAATCAGGGGAAGTCTAATTCCACCACTCTCCAGTGTGGCCTGGAACTTATTTTTCATTTCTAGTAAATAGAAAAAGGAGAACTAATAGTGTGTAACAAGGAAGACTAAGTCACCCACGGCACTGAAGACACTCACAATGTTCCCTGGAGAGACCCACATGGGGACAAACTGAAGCCACCTGCCAGCAGCCAGGTAAGTCCACCTGAAAGTGGGTCTTCCAGCCCGTCGAGCTGGTGGATAAACTCCACTCTGCCTCACTTCCTGACTTTGTTGTAGACAGAACCACACAACTAAGCAACCTTTCAAGTATCTGACCCACAGGAAATGTGAGATAATAATTTCTTTTTTAAGCCACTGAAGTTTTGAGTTGTTTTCTTTAAAAAAGAAATCCTCATTAGAGTCTATGTTTTATTGATTTTAGAGAAAGAAAGAGAGAGAGAGACATCAATGTGAGAGTGAAACATTTATTAGCTGCCTCTTGTATGTGCCCCAACCAGGGATCAAACCTGCAACCTAGGTATGTGTCCTGACTGGGATTTGAACCTGCAGCCTTTCAGTGTAGCGGACGATGTTCCAGCCAACTGAGGCCAACCAGCCAGGGCTTGAGTCATTTTCTTATGCAGCAACAGATAACACATGCAGTATTTGAAACTTAATATCCTTGAATGAAACTGCATTAGTAATAGATAAAACACATTTGTCATTAATATATAGTTATAATTCTGCATATCTACACTTTAAATGTAGTTATATCTTTATTATATTAAATTATAAACTGGGTGTTTTTATAAACAAATATGAAAGTCAATGATTATAGCTTGAAACTTTGCAAACTATTTGTTGTTTTGAATTTAAAAGATATATATATATATATATAGTAATAAATATATGTGCATTTCAGTATAATTTTTCTTAATTTAAGACATATCTCATTGAATACCTTTAATGTCTAAATGCAAGTATCATCCATAGTACTAATTTTTCCTCTCTCATGTATGAATTAAGTTTACAAGTAATTTGCTTGGGGTGGTTTTTAATATTTTCAGTAAAACAGAAAATTTTAGAATAATTGCTTTTAGCTGTAAATTATCTAGCTTTAAGATATGCTCAGAAATAGCCATTTAGTATAAGGTAATTACTTCTTCAGAACCCTACTCTAATGCTCTATTATTTAAAATAGCATGCTTCTGAGCCTCTAAATAAATTGTAAAGACCGGTGTTTTTTATTGCCTTTCCTCTGTTTTCAGTGATTTTTCACCAATGAAACTGTTTTTGGCTATGCTTTCTAATGAGGCAGGAAACTGAAGAGTTCAGGCAGGAGCTTTGCACAAGCCAAACTCACAAATCCCATCTGCCAAGGCAAACCCTCAGCGATCCCTCTAACAAACAAGACCGATGGTTTGCCTTCCTGGAGAATGAGTTCAGTAATGCAATGCAGACATTAATAATAAAGTAATGAGAAGTCACCTATACGAAGAAGGGGTATTCAGATGTCATCTAGCCCACGTTTATCTTCTATTTCACAGATAGAATTTGTAAATATTTCCAAAGAGAGAAATTCATCTTTTCTCCTAATGCTCATTCAAATGTTTAACTGCCCATTTTCTTGGTACAGCTTCAGCTTATTTTCTTTTGCTACTCCATAATGGAAACAGAGGGCAGTTAATGAGCATTTCTTTTAGGAAATCAGTCACATACTTAAAACCATTGTTACCTCTTAGCCTTTGGGTTAAACAACTTTTACTCGTAGGCTTGGTAATCTGTTTTGTAAACCACTTTTTGGCTCCCCTATCCCAGGGCTTTTCCATACATCGCTTAAATGTGGAAACCAAAACTAGATGCAGTTCTCTCATAAGGGGCAAATGCATCAACAGAGTAATTTCTCCTCATATTGTAGTAATTATTTGTCTGATTCATTTTAACTGCAAATTCAATAGCATTGTTTGATGAATTCATATTCATTTTGTGGTTCATCATCAACCAAAGGTTGTTCCTGCTTAACTCTGGCCCAGTCCTTTACCACCTTTATAAATAGGTTGCTTTGACATGTTATTGTGGGTAAAGATGGTGGACTGAACACATACATCAGGTTTAACTCTTTCCTGAATCCCTGAAAAACAGATGAGATACTTTTAAAGGCATAAAACTACAGGAATAGAGAGACCATGAAAGGAGAGAGTATAACAAAATGTTGGAAGCTGACACCAGAAAGATGGGAATTGGCATTGCTTCTGGAAATGGGGGTACGGGATGGAACTAAAATAAGGAGAATTGGTTCAAAGCCTGTTCAAGAAATGGTCAGAAACCTCTGTTTCTGCTCTCCACAGCTGGGCTTGCCCCTGCCCAAGCCTAGCAAAAGACTGAAGGGTTTGTTATCCGAAAAGGCTAAACAGACGGTCTCTGCGCTGGGGGCCACCGACTCCACTGAGATGTGGGCTTTCCTTCTGAAAGCAAGGAGAATAAATGAGCATTCACAGGGTCTGTGCTAAAGCCCCAGCTCAGTTCTCCAGCTTTGCTCCCCAAATGCTGGCAGCTGGGAGGAAGTGGAAGTGCTTTCATTGGGGGATCTGATCATATTAAGAGGAGAGACTTAAAGACACTGAAATCGGAGGATTCCTCAATGAAAAAGCCCAGCTAGATTGCCTTAAAGTGAAGCTCACGCTGCCATGGTGTATCAGTGATTGAGGGTTGACCTATGAATCTAGAATTTACCAGGTTCAATTCCAATCAGGGCACATGACTGGTTTGCAGTGCTATGCCCTGTGGGGGGCCTGCAGGAAACAGCAGGCCAATGTCTCTCTCCCTCATTGATGTTTGTATCTCTTTCTTTCTTCCTCTCTCAAATAAAAAAACAAAAACATATTTAAAATAATAAAATGAAGCTCACAATTGGCAAGCCTCACCATTCACTCACAACTCTCAATTTGTTAGAACACAATTCTTATGCAGGAACAGACAGCCATGGAAATCCTATAAACTGAATGACAGATCCAACAACAACAACAAAAAACACAAAACAGGAAGAAATTAGATGAAATAGAGATTATACTATGGAAAATATTTTTAACTGTAACTGTTTTAACATGTAAAAGTTACTCTGCTTTTACAGAGAAAGCTTTCTTGAAAAGGAGAACCATGACCTTGGAGCTCTATGATTTGTGAAAATAGAGTTATTCTTTTTTATTTTTGTAAGTAGTGTTCAGAAGCCATGGGAAAGAGACTTCTAAATGGAAAAGTAAATGGACTAAATTGGGTTAATCTTGGGACAAGTGAACTAAAGTGCTAAATAACTAAATTCTGGGTTTCAGGAACAATTTTGTTTGGGAGAAGTGAGTTTTATGGGACTGGTGCCAACAGAGGTAGAAGGAGAGGAGGTATCACAGGTGGAGTCTCAGCGTCAAGATGTCTCAGGAAAGAATCTCCTTATGAGCCATTTGAGAATATTGTCTTGAGGCTGAGACATCTGGGGCTTGTGAGGGAGCGGGACTCAGCCAGGCTGGAGAGGCTGAGAGAGGTGATGGGAGAGATGCAGTAAAGCCAGAAGAGAGCTGGGGAGACTGCACCTGCAGGTTCCAGTGGACGGGGTGGTGGGGGTGGGGGCCCTGAGAGAGAAAGAAGGGTTGGAAATGCAGAGGGGGGGGCTGGAAGACTGAGAGGAGGAGTTGTCAAGCAAGTGCAAGCCAGGCAAGCTGCCCCAAGACAGCCAAGAGCGATCCAATCCCCCTGGCCTCCTCCGCAGCAGGCTGACAGCCTCTTGTGGGAGTAACCACAGAATGTCTGGGAGTGGGCACCCCGGGAGCCTCTCCCAGGAAGAAGGAGCCATGTCTCCTCTGCTCAAGGCATAGGACATGGCACCGGGGGCCAAGTCTTCACCCAGCGCCCACAGGACTTGAAAATGAATATCTCGCAGATCTCAACGCAAAACAGTTCCTGGTAGTGCTTGGTTATATTTTCTGACATTCTTAACCAACTCTTAAGAAAGTGAGACTAATGAACTGTTGAAGTATTTTATATACATTTTTATCTAAAGTCTTTTGGAAAATTGATGTTCAACATTAAAGCTGCTTGAGATGAAAAATAAAATAGAGGTGGGCAAAGGGTGGGAGGAGATGGGGGATGTCTGTAACAGTGTCAACAACAAAATTTTTTTTTTTCAACGATCTCTTTACATCATCTATTCAGTGTGGTTTGTTTGAGTCCGCAACTACATGCCAAACAATAAAACATTGAGACCCATCATCTCATAAATGGAACTCACTATATTTACCATAATATATAGATTATCCTGCAATGTTAAGACATTTTTTTTACATCGAATCTAGAAAGTATTATCAACTACCACTGCTATTTCAATAAAATACCCATGGGCCCACCAACCCTTGTAAGAAAAAAAAAAAGGTAAACTGAGATCAACAGCACAAATTCATGATAACATTTCCCCCCCTATTTTGTCACTGAAGTGGCTGAAAGTCCCTGTGTTCCTCTGCTCTATGTCCAGTGTTCATGTGAAATAAAATAATGTGTACTCAAGCACTGAGATTTTGGTTTCTGATGCTAATTACTGCTTAAAATAATCAGAGCTTCTTGGAGAGTAGCTAACTCCATGTTTGCAGTAGAAATGTTAATAGATGAACTTGGGGCATTTTGTAATCTTATTCCTTGTAAATTTAACAATCTATTTTTAGCTTAGCAAGGGCAGGGCTCTCTGCAAAAGAAGCAGAAACTACTGTGAGAGCCAATGTAGATTTATGTTCTGACAAATAACTCCCGCTCTATTAAGTTCACAGTGGAGGGGAGTGATCTTGATTTTAGCAAATCACCTGACAAAATCATGTGATATCCTGTGGATAAAAAAAAAAATGCAGAGTAGATTTCAGGACAACTACATGGATTCAGCACTCACAATAACAAAAGACTAACAGATGGCATACTAATGGGCTGGAGGAATGCAATGGCATTTAGAAAGGCCTAATCCTTGACTCTTTTTTAAAAATTTAAAATGACTATCAATAATTAGAATGATGAAACCCCTCCTTCCCCCCCTCCCCCAGAGGCATACCTGTGACATTCCTTTCCCCTTCTTTCTCCTATAGGAACCTATTACTCTAACCTCTAAAAGACCCACAAGACTTGCAACCAGGGGAACAATGGGCAGTGGCAGCTTGTCCCAGGCAAGTCCCTGAACTGGTCTGCAAGGTCCTCTTTTCTCTGACTGACCAGTGAGCCAGGGCAGCCAAGCCTAGGCTTTCCTGTTGCTTCTTCTATGCCTTTCTTTATTTCCCTACCCTAAGTGTCAAAGTTCTGGCTGCTGTCAATGAATTCTTGCTTGTTTTTTTTTTGTTTTTTTGTTTTGTTTTTTTTTAAACACAACAATTAGAATGACGAGATATTTATAAAATTTAGAGGTAACACAAAGTTATGAAGGTCGGCCAACCTGCCTTATGAGACAACATTCCAAAAGGTATCTTCAGATTGGAACAATGTGTGAACAAGAATCACTTGAAATTTAATTAAGAAGTAACATAAAATAGTGCAGTAAGTAAAGAAGTAACATAAAATAGATTTTAAATATGGAAAACAGTGAATAATGAGAAATAGCTAATTTTAAAAACTTTGTACAAGAAAGATCCAAAGTTGCTAGTTAATTAAAAACTCAATATGAATCAATGATGTGATATGGATGCTTATCAAAAAATGCTGTCTTAGGCTGTGATATTGAAGTGTCTGTATCAGGGGTCAGAAAACTTGCTCTGCAAAAGTAAATATTTAAGGCTTTGTAGGCTATACTGTTCCTGTCACAAGTACTCAATTCTGCCACCCTAGCAGAAAATACATAAAGGAATGAGTGTGACTGTGTTTCAATCAAACTTTATTTATGAACACAAATTTGAATTCTAGGTCATTTTCACTAGTCATGAAATATTCTTTTTGATAAAAAAAAAAAAAAAAAAAAAAAAAAAAAAAAAAAAAAAAAAAAAACCATTAAAAAATGTACTGCCCTGCACCTCCCCTCCAAAGAAAAACCCATTCTCATTTGGGCCGCACTAAGGCAGATGGTAGGCGGATTTGGCTGGTGGACCATAGTTTACTGACCCTGGCCTACGTCAAAAGACACTACCCTGTTCAAATACTCTTTGGTGAATGAAGGATATTTAAAGATTAAATATTTCTAAAGGGTAATGATCATGGAGGAGCTGGACACACTCCACTGAAGAGAAAACTAAGGAGGATATTCAAAAATACATGGGCCCTGGCTGGGTAGTTCAGTTTGATTCGAGCATCGTCTGGATACGCCAAGGTTGTCAGGGCACATACAAGAAGCAACCAATGAATGCAAAAATAAACGCAACAACCATGTTTCTCTCTTCCTCTCTGAAATCAATAAATAAAAAAAGAAAAAGGAAAAATACCCGAAGTGTGGTCACACTTGAACAGAGAAAGATACTTTACCTGCGTTGTTGCAGCAGACCAAGAATGATGATGGGAAGTTACGGTGAGGCAACTTTAATTTGGCATAAGGAAAATGTTTCTATCAAACACTAATGGAGCATCCCATCACAAAGAGGGCTGCCTCTTAGACTTGTTTAATGACCACCTTTTGAGAATGTTGCTGCAGGGATTTCCCACAATGGATGAGAATTGGTAAAGGATTCAGAAATGTTTATTAAGCAAGTCTAACCTTCAAAAATCCTTTGTACCTCTTGATTAATATACTTCTTTATTTCTTCAAATGAAACTGCATCAGCCTAAAGAAGAAAAAAAAAAAAAGGTCTGTTAAAATAGAGCCCAGCAGAAATGGAGAACAGAAATATTGAGTTGTCATGCATACTTGAAGCTTCTATAGAGATACATTTATCAGGCAAAATGCTTTTGGCCACTGACTATATTAAGCAATACATTTGTTTTGTTTTGATCAAATGCTAGAAAGAAGTTGAAGTGCATAATTGCTTTAAAAGCTGTAGGCTGAAATCATAACCAGTGATGTGAACGTATTTCCTATTGAATGGGGAGACATGGTTTCATATAATCAGGAAAGACATTTCCTATTACTTCATTTTCTGAAGTTACAGAATTTGAGCAGTGTTATCATGATGTTAAATATCCCAGGCACAGCTAAACTTCTAACCAATCACTGGACACTGGTACAGTTATTAACTCACTGATATCATGTATTTTCAAAGGAAGACAACCTGGAAAAGAATTCCAGATTATTTTTTTAAATGTTTTGTGCATGGGATAACACTTACTAAGTTTTTTCCATATCATGGTAAAGTTTATTCTGTAATTTATACTTTGCAGGCCTATTTCTACTAAGTAGTTTTCTTTTTTAAGAGAAAATGCAAGTAGGTAAATAATGTCAGTTGAGTTTTTAACTTCTTCACAAATAAATTTACATGACGTTGACAAAGAATCTACCCATATAATAGTAATGTTTTACTATAGACCTTGATATTTCAAAAGGGAGCTATCATTTTTTCATGATGGATAGGATTTCAAAGTATTTTATTACTCTTCTTTGTATTTGGTGGTTACTATCCAGGGGTATAAAATGAAAGACAATGTGATGGGCTCAGATGATGATTGCTGTTAGGACTCAGTAGTTTCAAGAATGCCCTATTTCAACATTTTATTTTCACTGCAGATGGGACAAATAAACTTGAATTAATGCATCAAATACCAATTATTGACACAGCACTGAGAAGCCATTCTACAGGTTTTATTCAAGTAGAGTTCAGGGGAAGTGGGTAAAAATAAAGAAATATGAAAATTATGGGAATGCTCAATTTGGCCCTGTCTGGTAATGACATCTGAGGACAGCATGTCCTTAACTCCCTGACCTTACTCCCAAACACTCCTTTCTTCCTGACATGGACATTTTCACATGAAGTTCCTCTGTGGAGTGGCACTCACCAGGCCTTCTAAGGATTTAATAAAGACATGGGCTTTTCTAACCAAACACTCTTGGCCCCAATGGTCTCCACTTCAGAGCACAACTCCGAGCAGCTCTGCTGTTCTGATATTCATCAAAGTGAAGTTTTAATATGAAACAGATGTAGTATGTATTTTCTATGTAATGGAAGGAGGCATTATAGACAGTACTTAAGAGGAAGGCTTTGGAGTCCGTCGAACCTGGTTTTGATCCACTAAATAACTGTGACCTTGGACAAGTTGACTCCCAGTTTTTGCTTTTGCTAAGTTGGATGGAAAGAACAGCTATCCTCCCAGGTTCATTGAGAGGATGCAGGGAGGTCACATGTTGGAAGTGCTTTGCAGAGGGTCTGGTACATAACTTGAAAGAAATGACAGCAACTGTACCCTCACAGGGACCACTTTAGGCTCATTTTATTTATTTTGAAAGAACTATTGTTGCTTTCATGGGAAAAGGGATAGTGGTCAGTACCAGCCAGGAGTCTGGAGCTCTCAGTACCACTTACCGGAGTGCCGGGGACGCCTGGGATACCAGGAGGACCTTGGTGCCCGGGGGACCCCACAGAGCCCTTGTTTCCAGGTGGCCCCACAGGACCGACATCTCCCTTCATGCCTGGAAGGCCTGGCTTTCCCTGTTCACCTTGTGGGCCTCGGTCTCCAGGAATCCCCTGATCACCCTGTTAAGGAAAGAATTAAGTATAAAGAATGTTCTCTTCTACAACAGCAATAGCTGTAGTTCAGACAAAGGATCAGGATGGACACTGGAACTCCCTAGCTGTGGGACTTTGGGTGAGTGAATTAAATTCTCTGTGACCAATTTCCTCTTCCGAAAAGTGAGGGTGTTAATAGTGTCCACTAAGCAGTGTGATGCTGAGAAATGAATGAGTTAATTCAAGTTTGCGCTTAGAACTATAATATGTCGGGCACGCTGAAAGCACTCAGTGAACGGTAATGACAATGTCAGGTGTACTGTTTCCAGTCTAGAATAATGACAGTTTTGAAAGTCAGTAGCAGCTGTCACTTTAGGCCTGGGTCTCCTTTGCAATAATAAAGGATGATTGCCAAGAGGATTTCATCACTGAAATTTTTCACTCAGAAAAACAAGACACTCAAAATACCTCCTAAATCATGTACTCTCCCATCTCCCCCTGCTTGCTATTGTATGTTTGGTCTTTATTAGATTCTGTGGGTTGATTTCTATACAGGTGGTGTGTGTGTGTGTGTGTGTGTGTGTGTGTGTGTGTGAGAGAGAGAGAGAGGGGGGGGGAAGACAGATAGATCATGGCAGGTGTTTCAGTTATAGATATTTCTAATATTCACTTTCATTACTCCATGTGGTAATGACCAAACCAAATATGATGAAATGATGCACTGAGGCTGCCCTATATTTCACTGTATTATTCTTTTATTTGTTGTGGCTCCACTGCAAAAGTCCAAAGCTTATTTCTCATTAAAAACTAGAGGCCCAGTGCATGAGTTCATGCATGGGTGGGGTTCCTCAGCCAGTGATCAGGACTGGTCAAGGGGAGAGACCTCAGGAGGTTGGCTGGCTGTGGGAGGTTAGCTGTAGTAGCACAATGACCTCCAATTGAGCGTCTGACCCCTGGTGATCAGTGCGTGTCATATTGACCAGCTAGGTCAACCAATTGTTTGGCTGCTTAGGCTTTTATATATATAGATGATGAAAACAAGTGAACAATTACAGAGACCTATTTGATCATGGCATAGAGAAGTGTAGAAATAAGCCATGTAGATCAAGCATGTCAAATTTGCAGCCCATGGGCCACATGTGGCTCACAACAAATATTCTTGTGGTCCAACCAATACAATGGTATTTAAGAAATGTTTTAATAAAAATATCATAACTTAATTTTTACAATATCCTGTTATACATAATTATTACTAATGAACTACAATGTTTGCTAATGACTTATTACTATAATTGTGTTGCATTCATTTCCCTTACACGCCTTACATGCAGGTTCACCATTTTTTTCCACTAATACTAGAAGCGAGTATTTTAGCAGCTGATTGCCACCTCATTAGACTTGGACTGACTTGTTTGGAGTATGCAACAGAAAATATTTCACTTTCAAAGAACAAGAAAAATAGGTTTATTTGTGTTACATTCATTAATTTGTGCAGTTATTCAGTGTCTGGTAAGTTAATGTTCAAGAAAAAAATATTAATTTTTATGAAAATGTTCTATTATTTTATGTTAATGATTACTCATTATTTCAGCCCTTTGTATTTAGTATTGTCTTTATTAAAATAAACCCATCTTTCTATGAAAATTGGAGCTTTTGTTTTTTTTGTGGCCCATCTAAACTTAAACATTGTTTATTTGCCCTGTGTTAGATTTTGAGTTTGACATGCTTGATATAGATGGACCTAATTTTAGTGCTACTGTCTTGGTTATAAAAATGTATTTGTGCCCAATTGGCATGGCTCAGTGAGTGAGTGTCGACCTATGAATGAAGAGGTCATGGTTCAATTCCCAGTCAGGGCACATGCTTGGGTTGTGGGATTAGTCCCCAGTGTGGGACGTGTGGGAGGCAGCCCATAGGTGATTCTCTTTCATCACTGATGTTTCAATCTCTCTTTCTTTCTCCCTTTCTCTCTGAAATCAATAAAAATATTTTTTAAAAATGTATCTGCATGCAAGTATATCAATCACATTTGGAGAAATATCTGAGACTATTAACATAAAAAATAGATAAAAGAAATACTGGCACACTTTGATCAATACCCTGATCATGTGCAAAATAAACACAATCTTTAACGTATTAAAATTATTTTATAATCTAGGGACAAAGATGCTCATTATAGTGATGTTTATAATATGAAAACTGGGAGAAACATAAATACCCCCCAAAGGGGGACTGAGTAAGTGAAATAAGGTATATCCAAACAGTGGAATAATGTGTAGTCACTAACAAGTAGCTGCAGCTCTATATTTACTGACATGGAAAGGCAGTCATTACATATTATGAGGCAAAAAAAGACATTTACAAAGAAATTTGAGTTCACTTTTATAAAAAAGTATATATTCTTTTGTATTGATTCATTAAGTATATGTATATGTTTTGAATAAGAGTGAGAGAAATGGAAACTGGGTCAAAATATCAATAGTGCTTGAATGTAGTGGGGTAAGGTAGATTTTTTTTTTTTTTTTTTACTTTCTTCATGTTATTTCCTCTATTTTCATATGTCCTTCAGTTATTATGAATTATCTGTTAAATAATAAGTAAAAGCTTTTATTCCACAAATCCTTCTATGTCTGAGATAGGAGGATGATAAAGCTTTCCAAACCAACAAGACTTAGCTGTTTAAAAAAGCCAGCCAGGCAGGTATATTTGCCACGTGGCCTCATTCTGGGTCTTCAATGGTCCTGCTTTACTGTTAGCCAGATCTAGGATCACATATGCTCTACCCTTTTCATGCTGAGAGATTTATAGGAATTCTACATACATAATTGGGAAGTCAAATGCTGGCACAGGTGTAGCAGACGGACTTAATAATCAAAATAATAATATACATACACGTTCTCCTTTGGGGCCTCTGTCTCCAGGCTTACCCAGGATGCCCTGAAAAACAGATATCAGTATGAAAAGTCACTGCATGTCAAGATTTCCCTTCAGGTATTCTGCGGTTGTGCATCAGAACACTTATTTTAAAGTAGAGGACTAGTGTGGGAAATTCATGCACTCAGGAGCAGGGGGGTCCCTCAGCCCAAATTGCGAGAGAGTCCAGGCCAGGCCGAGGGACCCCACTCATGCACGATAGAGGCCTGGGAGGGATGTGGGAGGTTGGCCAATCAGAGAGGGACTGTGGGAGGGCTTCAGGGTGTATCCAGCCCATCTTGGCTGGACCACAGCATCAAGCTAACCTACCAGTCAGAGTGTCTGCCTCCTGGTGGTCAGTGCATATCATAGAGAGTGGTTGAGTGGCCTTAGCATATCATTAGCATATTACGCTTTGATTGGTTGAATGGATGATCAGACAACTGGACACTTAGCATATTAGGCTTTATTATATAGGATGGTATTTTCCATACCTGAGCACCTGGTAATCCATCTTTTCCATTTATTCCCTGTAAAGACAAAAAAATGATTAATATTTCTAATTCTGCACTGACAGACATGGTTAAATACAACAAAAGGGTAGAGACCCAAGGACTTCATCATATTCCTGCAGAGATTTTGGTGATGCAGTATGGTGAAATGGAAAACAAAATCAATAGAACCAGATAGTATTAATAGTTCCACTAGTAGTCAGTTTAAATTCTGACTCTGCCACTGCAAAGTTCCATTTACTTTAGGCCAGTGGTCAGCAAACTCATTAGTCAACAGAGCCAAATATCAACAGTACAACGATCAAAATTTCTTTTGAGAACCAAATTTTTTAAACTTAAACTTCTTCTAACACCACTTCTTCAAAATAGACTCACCCAGGCCTTGGTATTTTGTGGAAGAGCCACACTCAAGGGGCCAAAGAGCCGCATGTGGCTCGTGAGCTGCAGTTTGCCTACCACGGCTTTAGGGCAATTTACTTAACCTTAACAGCACTGGCTTCTTCACTTAGAAAGTCAGGATAAAATAATGGCCTTAAGACAAAAGATTTAGTGAAATAGCAGACCATGCCAAGCTCACTGTAAACAGGCGACAGGGTGATTTTCCTTACTTATTCTATCAGGTACGTTCTGAGAAATAAGAAGGTGCCCAATAGTGCCGGGTGGCTGGTGGATGGCATTTACTGCTACCTCCTTACAATTTTTCCAGCACGAGGAGTCATTCTCAGTAAATGGTCTCCGCTGCTGCTGGGGAAATTTCATAACATGGCCAGAGCATGATCTTAATATGAAATAAACTGTCAGTCAGAGAAAGAATGTTATTTTTCAGCTGGAAAATATAAAGGGGAAGCAAGGGATGTGTAATCACAGTTTCCGAGTATCAAATAGTGGCTTTTTATTAGTAAACTGCAAGTTTTCTGAACTTTATATAAGGGAGTTCTGGAGGTGGTAATAAAAGCTCGGGGATTTATAAGACGGTGAGAACTATCGGCCGGGAGATGTGAGAAGGAAAAGCACTTGGGGGTCAAATGAAATACCTAGAGTCCGAGAGCAGATGTGTTTTTGAGATTTGATTTGAAGAGGGAGATCAAGGTGAGGAAAATGATTTCTTAGCCAGCAGGTGATTTCATGGACATGCTCCTCTGAAAAGCCGAGGGGACTTTCATTGTGCACCGGGGAATGGATTCTATGCTGAACTGCAGACAACCTCATGTGCTCAGCGCTGTAAATTACACTATCGTCTGTCACAGCTGAGAGCCCAGCCAAAGTCCCCGACCTCTCTGAAAGATCCTGGGAATTGTCCAGAATACTTTTACTGAGAACATGTTACCCGAAGGGTATGGTTCAAAGAATTTATGACATCAGGAAACACAAGCAACAAAGATACAGCTGAGTGAGCAGAGGATGTGAAGAAACAGCTGTGTCACTTGATTAAAAGAAGATAAATCTAGTGTGAAAATCTAGTGTAATTCATGTCTTTGGTAACAGTATAGGAAAGGAAATAACCCTTATAGTCTTTTATTTTGGGGGGTGGGGGTCTCATAATTCATCAAAGACTGTCCTGTGTGTTCTTTTTGCATATGAAGGTGTTACTAACTTGCTTTTCATAGCATATCCTGTTCTCAGAGATTTTTTACAATAACCTGTGTGTACTGGACTTCCGCTCCCTCCCCTCATCTCACTTCTCTGGAAGAATCCATTTCCGGTAGAGCCAACTTTCTGTCTATTGTACGTCTGAATCTGAGCGTCCAACTGTGGTTGAAGAAGACCACGAGTTCTTGCTCTCTTGTTCCAATCTAAGTGAAGGATGGCAGAGGGCAAGCAGCCCTCCTGCGTTATCAGGTTACCCCTTCTGTATTTTCTGACTTGACTCCCACCCTTTCTCTCCAAAAATACTCTTTCACATATTTCCTATCTCTTCAAAAGTCCAGCATCATCACCCTACTCCTCAGGGCCAGCCGATGACCCTAATTCTTCTTCCCCTGAGGCAATAAACAGGAGAGAACCACCTCCCTTTCCTCCACCTGACCCACCAGCTACATGCATTTGTATTTTGACTTGTGTCTCCTGTTAAAGAGGAATGAACAGCCCCATTCTTTGTTAAGACCAATTCCCCTTTGTGAGTGGAATACCAGTCTTCTCCCTATGCCCAAAGTTACCTGCACTCTCTTACATCAGCTGAATTTCCTCTCTCAATTGGGCCATACTTATCAAGATGCTAACATGATGGAATCTCTCCCACCACAACCTCCTCTTTGCAAAACCCAGTGTTGGATTATTAGCTCTCATGTCACTTACCTGTATGTTTATCACTCCTTTCTTTTAAAACACTTTCTTTTAAAACACCCGGGAAGCCTCATTCACCTGGTTTTTCTTCCCATCTCTTGGCTGCACTTTCTCAGTCTTTCCGTTAGATCCTCCTCTCTGCCTCACCACAGTGACTGTTTCACCCCGGCTCAGCTTTAAGTACCCTGATTGGTTTCTGCAGTCCCAGCCTCGCCATTAACTCCAGATGCTTCTCTCCACTGCTTACTTGGCATTCCCCTTGGATATCTACTGGTGCTTCAAGATGAATGTATCTCACCTAGACAATTCTTGGTTTTCCCGCCCCAAACCACCCATCTCCAGTCTTTCCCATCTCACCAAACATTTCACTCCGACACGGTGGCTCATTCTCCAAACCGCAGCTTTGTCTTCCTCACATTCCACAGCTGGTGCCTCAGCCAGTCTTGTTGGCTGTCCCTTCAACCCCGCCTCTTCCTCCTCATGATTTCCCTGTTCTCACCATCTTTCTCTCTCATGGGGGCTATGGCAGTTCCTCCTCACTGTTCTGTCTGCTTTCACCCTACAGTCTGCTCTCCATACACTGGTCAGAGTGGTCATTTAAAATGTGGTCCAATCGTTTTCCTTCCCCCCACAAACACCCCAGTGAGTTTCTATCAGGCTGCAAGTGAAATCCAAGCTCTGTTCAGAACCGAGAAGTTCCTTGTGGTCTGGCCACTGCCTACCTCTACCTCAGGATCTTTCCCTCTTTTCTTTAGCTTAGTTCACTCTGAACTTCATGCCTTTTGCTGTTTTTTAAACATATCATGCTCTTGTTAGCCATTTCTTTTTCTTAAAATAATGCCCCCACCCCAACCTCCTCAGGACTTGATCTCTCACTCTGTGCAGGTCTTGCTCCAATGGCTTTCCTTTTTTGTCCACCCTGTTAAAGGCTACTCTAGTACTTCACCCTGTTTAGATCTTCTTCTACCTTAAATTGTGTGTGTTTGTTGTCTGTGGCCCTATCATAGCATTTAAATCCCATGAGTTGCTAGCACACACAACTGTGCCTAGCATAGAGTAGGTGCTTAAGAAATACTGGCTGAATAAACAAATTGCTTTTTGCCTCATCCCCTAGGCACCCCGTGGTAAGCATTAAAATGAGATGTTGTTCAGGGGTTAGAAGTGGAAAGTTGGTAAGAGAAAGCAAAGGGGGAGGCAGGGATTAAACTAATATTTATTGAGCGCCTCCCAGGGGCAGGCACTGGAAATGCTTTTCCTATGTCATGTTACTCAAGTGACTCACAATACCCTTGGAGTCATAATTCAAACCCAGATCTTCCTAACACATTTTTTCACGTTGCCTTCTCTAGGGAGGTGGCAGTCAGGGAATGCACCAACCCTGAATGTTTCACAAAGATTCTAAGTGGCTTCATGAGTTCTGTGCTGCTTGTTTACATTCAGTACCTTCTCCTCCTTTTACACACAGAGCAAATAAACAAGCAAAGGGAGCAGTGACCTTCTTTGTTTTTTATTTTTTTAATGTATTTTTTAATAGATTTCAGAGAGGAAGCTAGAGGGAGAGAGAGATAGAAACATCCATGATGAGAATCATTGATTGGCTGCCTCCACCCTGCCCCCTACCGGGCATAGAGCCTGAAACCTGGGCATATGCCCTGATTGATAATTGAACTTTGAACGCCCAACCTCTGAGCCACTTTGGCACAGCAGTAGTGACCTTCTATAAAGAAAAAAACCTGAGACTGGGGTATGTCTTATTCATCTTTATATTCCTCCCTCTGGGCTCAGCACACCCTTAGCAAACGCATGGATATATGTTGAATTGGATTAGTAGGAATGACTGTTACAGTGTCACAGCAGTACTATATATCAGCAGCCCAGAGCTCTTTAGGACACAGGGGGATGATATATTTGGCAGCAGTGATTTATGAAAGTGAAGGAACAAGGCGCATAGATAAGGGAGGGATCCTGAGAAAACAGCTTCTACTTTAATCTTCAGCTTCACACACAGGTGTTACATCTGTGAGTCTTGTTTCTTTATATTTTAGGATGTGAAGGGCCATTTTATTTTTAAGTCCACTGAGCACATTAGACTTAAGAAACAATGAGTCTAATTCGCTGACACTTAAAACGAAAAGAACCTCAGCTTCGTCTCCCTTGTGTAAGACATAAAGATACCTCACAGAGAGCCAGGGCACTCAGTGAGAGCCACACCCCAGAAACCATTTGCAGAACCTCACTTACTTCCTCAGAAACAACTTGCTTAAATCTCAGGTGTTCTGAGGAGATGGAGAGGAGGCATTGCTTAGAACATTTCTCAAGTTGGCAAAGTTTAAACCACGGAAGTTCTTACCGGCTTTCCTGAGGGTCCTTCCGGTCCGGGGAAACCAATGTCTCCCACAGGTCCTCTCTCCCCCTGTGGAGATGTCCACAAATGTTAGTCACCAAGAAAGCGTTAGAACTGCACGTGATGCAACACACGTAAAACTGTTAGGAATGAACTCACCGGTTCCCCTGGAACTCCTGGAGGCCCCGGGGTGCCAGGTTTCCCCTGGGAAATCAAACCAAGGAGAACTGTTAGGAGCCAAATTACTGAATGATGCCACGTGCTCAACCCCCACATGCTGAGCTTAATGTGCCTTTAGGTTGTGGCACTGCACTCAGATGGCACTCCCGGTGGGACAGAGTCCCAGGAGCCCCTACTCAACCCTGCAGGCTCCTAGGGACGGGCTGGGGAACAGTTCCATGAAAGGGCACATGTGTGTATGTTGGGTGGGTGAGTAGGAAGGATAATAAGTTTTGAAAATATTAAGAAAATGCATTTTCATTTCTGGAAATCTCTCTAGTGCCTATTTGGCAGTTCGTCTTTACTTTGGGGCGGGGGAGGGGGGGCGGGAAGGCACGGAGGCTAAACAAAATCTTGCCTAGACTGAGTTTCACAAGAAGGTTTCTAAGTAGGATAGCTTGGCAAAGAGCATGTTTGATTTGAAAAGCTGTGTTTTGTTGAAAGGGAGAGGACAAGATCGATTTGTTCCAATACACATCAATAGATGTATGATGGAGCAGTGACAACAGAAGAATCTTGGGGGAGAGCGGAAGGAGACCACAGGGATGATACATGTAAGAAGGATGGTCCCACAGATTTCTGGAAGTGGGAAAGTGCAAGGGTCCAGAGTGGGCATAAAGACGTTGCCTTTGGGAAGGAACTGCCTACGATCCCTTGGACCTAATGTGCTTGGAAAGACCGACTAAGTGGGAATGTAGGTGTACAGTTGAGACCATAGAAACCACAGTGGGTTACGAGGGAATCTGAAAAGGGAGGGCTTTCCCCATTTGCTGTTTGGAGTTTTGGGAGGAGATCCCCTCCCAGGTGTAGGTATGGCTGAGCAGTGAAGAAGGGCGGACGCCAGGCCTGAGAGAGCATCCTGGCTCTCCACAGCCTGTGTGGGAAAGCAGAGACTCCTGCGATTCCTGTGGGCCTGAGTGGGGGAGCCGAGGGGTGGCGGGGAGCACACTGACCAGAGGTCACACCCACTGCCCACGCATAGGGATACTTCTTCTGTGTCCCCATATGCCATTCTGGCAGGGCTGGGGAGAAGAAGCCCGGGGAAACCTCTGGACAGGCCTGAATATGCGAGAAAGGGACAGACTGGTCTGCTCTAGGAAGGGCAGGGCTGGGTTCCCTTGGTACTCAGCAGAATGGCGGTGATGTGTTTGTCCAGGTAGGTCTCAACCAGAACAATCACCTTACATAGTTTTTTTCTTACTGTGATTAAGATACATATGACAAAAATCTACCATTTTAAAGTGTAAAATTCAGGGATATTAAATATATTCCCACCCTTATGTAACCATCACCACTATTTCCAGAATGTTTTTTTTTTTTTTTTCCTGAGCCACCATCAGGTCCAGTTATAAAGAACTGTCATGTATTTAATTACACTGCCCTATATATGCAAGGTGTAAAATTTCTACCCCTTCTCGATTTTTGTAATTGTCAGTTCATTCTCTTAATTATGAGGTAAGAAAACTGCAATTACCCCTTATTTCAATCATGCTGTAGCTTTCAAAAATTTCTTTGGAATTCTTCATTTGGATTGAGTCTGTCACTCATTTTTTTATCTTTGTTTAAAAAATATTTTTATTGATTTCGGAGAGGAAGGGAGGAGAGGGAAATAGAAACACCTATGATGAGAATCATTGATTGGCTGCATCCTGCATGCTCCCCACCCGGGCATGTGTCCTGACTGAAAATCAATCCTGGCTAATAGGCTGCCACTCAACCACTGAGCAACACCGGCCGGGCACTCATCTTTTAAATACCTTCAGTGGTGGCCAATGTTTTTCTCTGGTGAGAGATTTAATTTAGGGTAGTAGCCAAAAGTGATCTGTAGCACACGTGGGTGAATACAGTGGAGTATTAAGCTGCATTATACCCTGTGGAAACAAACACGGGGTGTGAGTGAATCTAAGTGGTGTGGGTTGTATGGACAATTCTGCAATTCTGGAAACAAATTTCCAAATACATTTCTAGGATGGTAGTGAGGGGAGGGGAAAGGAATGGGATAAAGTGTGAGTCAACTTTCAGGAAGAGTACTTTCTTGATTAAAAAATTCTGTAGTGTTGCTAAAGAAAATATTTCCGTTACTTTTCAATCATACTAATATTTTCGTTTGATCTAGAATAGCTGAATAAGGAACTATCTCCTGTAAAGGATGGTTTTCAGTGGACTGTGGACAGAATTAATTAATTGTTGTTCTTAGATTTAGCAATAAAATAAAATAGAGTGACTACTGGCCTTATAAGGGATGGGGGTGGTGGGAGGTGGTGATGGAGAGTAGAGGGGTGCTGTGGCTGGTGGCAGGGGGTTCTGGGTGGTATTGGGTCGTGGTGGGTGGTGCTGGTAGGACCCTTTGTATCTTTCTCATGTTCTAGCACATGGTTTCCACTGACTTTCCTACCCTGCAGGGACACTGAGCAGGAGGATAAATGGGCTGTTATTCATAAAGCATGACCACAAAATTTTAATTAGAGATTTGTGAATGAAGATCAGAACGATCCCTGGGGCTCAGAGAAATGATTTCAACCTTTCCTGCAGCACTTTCTATTCATCTGAAAAGACCTTGATGAGATTAAAACATTTGACATCAGAGAGCAACAAAGATGATTGATACGATTGAAGGGCTAGTTTATGAGGAGACATTAGCAGCAATAAAGCTGTGCTAATAATGCTGGGCTGAGGAAAGTCTCGGGCAGATTGCAGTTTAATGCAAAGAACCTGAACTACATGCCCCAGGATGAAAACTTTACCTTTAGGACCAAGAAACCTTGACATATGACAAAAGTAGAGCAACAAAACAAACTTCTCAAAGCTGTGCTTGCATATTAATGTACCATCACAGGTAACTGGCCTGTCCTTACCCCGTTAGTGAGTTGGGAAGAATAAAAGTACAACAGAAAATAAGTAAGAGGTGGAAATGAAGAAAGGAGCATTCTTCAAATGGGAGAGGGACAGGTAGCTCTGTTTTTTAAACTGGAGGTTTCAGGAACCTCGTATCATAGGAGCTGCCACCTGCTCCCCAGTCCTCCTCCCAATCCTCAGCTGTAGGTTTACTGTGGAGACAACTGTTTACTTGAGAAAATAATGAGAGATAATTTGGACTTACCACCATGCCGGCTACTCCTGGGGGACCCACTGGGCCTCGATCTCCCTTTTAGGGTTAAAGAAAAATGGTACTTACAATGATATCTATAAAATCTTTACCTATAAAATTAGTGCTTAAAATTATTTAAATTTGGTAAAGTTTTTCTTCGAAATGATAAGCATTATTAATGTTAACTGATGTAAAGCTAGAGGGTAGATAATTGGAAAAGTAACAAAATAAGTAGCCAATTGAATGTGTTAGTAAAACTAGATAAAATAATCTTAATGAAAAGAAGTATTCATCTGGTCATTTCTATGACCTATTGTTAATAGGACCCTATATATCCTTGCAGCTAAAATTAGTCAATATTCTTATTCCATATATTTAAAAGTAATTCATTAGAGTACTTGAATTTTACTTAAAAGCTTTCCCTACACTTGTCTTGTTGGGTATAGGGTTGGAATAAAAATATTTAGAACAAGAGAATGTAGTTCTCATTAGCCCAATCAGAAGATCTCTTTAATTGCTCTGAACAGTAGAGTGACTCAACGTTTTGTCCAAAGGCAACATGGTATTTTAGATAAAGCTGACCATGCTAAAAATACTAACGATTATATATGGGATAATAAAATGGCAATTTTTATTGAGCAGAACCTACATTATAAACTTCCTAACTTCCTTCAGGGACATAAAAGAAGACCTGATTAAATGGAGAGATACGTTTTGTTCTTGGAGGCCAAGACAATGTTGTAAAGATGTCACTGCCACCCAACTAATTTATCAATTTAATACAATTCTTATGAAATTGCAGCTTAAACAAATAATAGTATAGCTCACTCAGGATAATAAATAGAAGAGAAGATAGAAGAAAAATATTAAAAGAAGATTAACAATACCAATATTTAAACACATAATATTCCATCCCTTCCATGATCTCAATTTTGGGTATTCCAACTTTGGATCACCATCTCTTATTGTCATAATCTACTCACTTGGGTACTTGAACTCCTGATACTTGATGCAACCAAGACCTCTAATCCATTAATTGACAAAATTTTCATTACATTTCACTCCCTGGATGGCCTCTCTATTTATCTAGTTTAAACTCCATGGTCACTTGTTATAACTATTCCCCTGTGTATACTGGTAACTCTTTTGACCCATTGCTATTTCTAGTGCTCAACTGTCAAAACTACAGTAGAACCTGGTTTAAATACAGCTCCCCTTCTATTCTGTACTTTTGCCTGAGAGTCTGTACATGGCTGGAAAAGTACTCATAATTTTGCTGACTAGTCTCACTTCAGTTCATGACCACGAGTCTTAAAGGAGCCATCACTCTGCAGTCCCTGAACTCTTCCTCTCTCCTAGAAGATCTTTTCCTTAAATCTCCAACCTCTTCTCCCTACTCCACTCTCAGATGATTATCTTGCCTTTTCCATCTTAGAAAATTTAATAAATCAGAAAAGAACTTCTATGGACTCCAACCAATTCATCTCTCTATATATACATATCAACATGTGTACCACTATGCTTTTGTTTTCCCACCTGTTACCCTAGATGAACTACCCTCTCTGAAGACAAATCCTCCATTTATACGCTAAGTCCCCATCCCTCTTAGCTATTTAGGGACAACATTTCAGCAGTTCTTCCCTTTACTTCTATATAATTCATTAAATCTTCCTACTGGATCATTCCTTTAGCATACAAAACATCTGGTATTTCTATAGTCTTAAAAATCCATTTTATCTCCACCAGCTTTGCTCAATTGTTGAGTGTCGAGTGTCTACCTATAAGCCAGAAGGTCAGGGTTCTATTCCCAGTCATGGCACATGCCTGAGTTTCAGGCTCAATCCTAGTGTGGTGAGTACAGGAGGCAACCAATCAATGATTCTCTCTCAACATTAATGTCCTCTCCTCTCCTCTCCTCTCCTCTCCTCTCCTCTCCTCTCCTCTCCTCTCCTCTCCTCTCCTCTCCTCTCCTTTCCTCTCCTCTCTCCTCCTCCTCCTCCTCCTCCTCCTCTCTCTCTCTCTCTCTCTCATTGAGAACACTTAGCAAGTACACAGTTTAGTATTGTAATCTATTGTCACGAAGCCATACAACAGATCTCTAGAACATACTTGTCTTGCCTGGGACATTCTTCCTGCAGAAGACTTGGTTAGCTCCCCCTCACCTGTTTCAAGTCTTTGATCAGCTATTGCTATTTGATCAGATAACCCTATTAAAAAATCACCTTTCTCCACTTCAGCACTCCTCGATCCCTTTAACCTGCTCTTTTTCTTCCCATTAGCACTGACCAACAATATAATTTAGTTATTTGTGCTTACTCATTTAATTTCTATATCCTCTTCTTGGAATAGAATTCCATGAGGTCAGGGATTTTTGCCTGTTCTGCTCCCTCATGTACTCCCAAACATAAAATAGTTCCTGGTAGAATAGTAGGTGCCCAGTAAACATTAAACATGTTTGAGTGTTGAAGCAGTGAATGCATTTCTAAGCCCTGTACTTACCTTTATGCCTGGAAATCCTTCCAGCCCTGGCAAACCCATTGCACCAGGTTCTCCCTGTTAAACAGGAGCACAAGGAACTCAGGAGCAATGATTAAATGAATTTCAAACACTGGTTTTCAAAAGCAAAGATATATTTTTCCTAAATCTACTCCCTCTAACATTGATTCGTAATCTAGCAAGTAAATGGAATGCTTTATTTTGAAGCATTTGTATTCTTGCTTTTGGTGTTTGAAAACAGTTTGAGAATAAGGCTATTCCCTGGAGAAGTATGAGTCTATTTTCTGATTAGTTGTTTTTATTCTGACTAGGAATCTAATCATAATGAATCCATCTAGTTGGTGGTATTTCCAATTGCAATAAGAATTAGAAGAAAAAGCTGTCTTAATAACGTTGGTCAATTTGGGAGGTTCCTGGGGCTGCTAGATTACTGGGAATAAGACTATGTATGCCCTTTAAGAGCAGAGGAAGATGAGTTCTCAAAGCAGAGTTTGTCATCCTCCAGTCTTCTCTGAACCTGTAATGGGACATGAATTGTGATGCCAGGGGCAGCATTTCAATGATTTTAAAAGTTACTGATCAGTCTGGCCAACTTGGTTCAGTGATTGAATGTTGACCTAGGAACCAGGAGGTCATGGTTAGATTCCTGGTCAGGGCACATGCGCAGGTTGCTGGCTCGACTACCATTGTGGGGCATGCAGGAGGCTGCTGATCAATGATTCTCTCTTATTATTGGTGTTTCTATCTCTCTCTCTCTTCCTTCCTCTCTGAAATCAATAAAAATATATTTTAAAAATGTTACTGATCAAGCTGATGGGTCACTGATAGGATATGGGTAACCATTTCCATTAAAAAAAATTTCAGTGTGTGGTCTCAAGCTTACTAGAGACTTCTGATCCTCAAGGAACACATTTAGACAAGTTAGAGTGAAGGAAACTGCTCACTTTGAACAAATAGACTTTTAAAAAAATATTTTTTTGTTAATACTCATCTGAGGATATTTTTCCCCCCACCCCCATTGATTTTTAGGGAGAGTGAGGAGAGAGGAAAAAACAGAAATATAGATGTGAGAGAAACACATTAATTGTCTGCCACCTGCATGAGACCCAACCAGGACCCAGGCTGAGGAAGAGCCTACAACCAAGGTACGTGCCCTAGATTGGAACAGAACCTGGGACCGTTTGATTTGCAGTCTGGCACTGTATCCACTGAGGCAAACTGGCTAGGGCGAACAAATAAACTTTTTAATCAAGAGAGATAAAGTGGGTAGCATAGGACTTGATAATATTTTTATTTTCTCAATTTTTTAAAAAAGTAATTATTTTTCAATTATAGTTGACATTCAATATTATTTTATATTAGTTTCAGGTGTACAATGTAGTGGTTATAAAATTATGATTTCTAAAGCGAGTTCCCCTATAATTCAAGTATCCATCTGGCACCATACATAGTTCTTATAATATTATTGACCATATTCCCTATGCTGAACTTTACATCTCTGTGACTATTTTGTAACTACCAGTTTGTATTTTTTTAAACCCTCACCTGAGGATATTTTTCCATTGATTTTTAGAGAGAGTGGAAAGACAGAGAGAAATATCGATGTGAGAAAAACACATCAATTAGTTGCCTCCTGCACAAGCCCTGACCAGGGCCCGGACTGGGGAGGAGCCTACAACTAAGATATGTGCCCTTGACCAGAATTGAATCCAAAACCTTTCGTCCGCAGTCCGATGCTCTATTCACTGAGCAAAACCGGCTAGGGCTCAATTTGTACTTTTTAATCCCTATACTTTTTTTTTTAAAACCCATTCCTTCCAACCCTCTTTCCCTCTGGCAATCCTCAAAACAGAAATAGACTGGCCGAAACCAGTTTGGCTCAGTGGTAGAGCGTCGGGTCTGTGGACTGAAAGGTCCCAAGGTTAGATTCCGGTCAAGGGCATGTACATTGGTTGCGGGCACATCCCCAGTAGGGGGTGTGAAAGAGGCAGCTGGTCCATGTTTCTCTCTCATCGACGTTTCTAGCTCTCTATCTCTCTCCCTTCCTCTCTGTAAAAACATCAATTATATATATATATATATATATATATATATATATATATATATATGTATATATATATATATAAAACAGAAATAGACTCATTAATAATGCTCCATAAATCTTTTAAAATGTCTATAACTATGTAACCTGTCAATAAGAAAAAAAGATATTCCAATTTTATTCTACATAAAGCTCTGTAAAAGAGTCTTTGGGTTATTGGCAAAGGAAATAAGCATTTTATTCTCTTTGTTTACAATCCCAACAATCCTCAGGACAGAGAAAGGTGCTGAGCCAATCAATAGTTGTTTGGAAGCAGCTAATAATAAAACATTTAATTGAAATCCACTTGCAAATTGTACACCAAATAAATGAAATGGAGCACCTCGGAAAATAATGTAGGGTAATTTTCATCTATAAAGGTCTACTAAGTTGGTTAGAAACAGGTGATCTGGTGCCATGGGGCCTGAAGGATTCTCCGAGAGTAAAGCTACCCCTACCCACTTCTCAATGACTTCTCCATATTCTATTCTGTGACCTAAAATTCTACCATTTCTACCTTATTTTTAATGGCATGAGATATTATTTTTCTCTTCTGGGCAACAGATGGGAAATGAAGGCAGTTGAGTGGTGGTGCTGACATAGAGCCCAGAAGAGTATTTTCCAAGTTTTACCTAAGATAAACCTGAAGCTTTACACAGGATTTAATTTTATGATTCCACATTCTGTTTTTGTGCTTCACTCACTTAATTAATCTCCTAAAGGCAAGGAACATCCTTTAATTAGCTTCTATTCTCTATCCTTTGTTGCAGCTAAGAAATTTGCAGTGTACTCTCTTAAAATTCTACCCAAATTCCTGCATTGTTGCAATCAACTTTCCAAGTGAATTATAATTTATCCTTTATTATAATGCTTTTTTTTTTTTAAAAAAAAGCATTTTTTTTTTTTTACCTTTATCATCAGTTATTAATGATAAAACTTGAATGTTGCAGAAAAGCTAGTGAGAAGTCTAGGAGCCCTTAGATGATTCAGAGGGGATGTTTTGTGTGTGTGAGGATGAGAAGGAAAGACCATGAGGAAATTTTTATCAACAAGATAAAAGAAAATTAAAACTAGGATGAAATATATAGGTGGTGTATGCATAACAAATGTTACAGATAAAGCCCTGGTCGGTGTGGCTCAGTTGGTTGTTTTCCAATGTGCCAAGAGGTTGCTGGGTTCAATTCCTGGTCAGGGCACATGTCAAGGTTGCTGTGGCTTGATCCCCAGTAGGAGGAATGCAGCAGGGAGCCCAACTATCATTCTCTCTCCTTCATATAAAAAAAAGTTACAGATAAAGCAAGGGAAGAATGGGTAGCAAAACAAAGGAAACTTCTTGATGACATATTTGGGGTCAAAATCATGCTTTCAGGGGAAAACAAATTGGCTTTTAATAGTCAGTGCCCCATAACAAAAATACACTCTTCAACCCATCTTCTTTGAAAATACATTTAGTTGTGAAAAGATTACTTTGTATGGTTTGTTCTTTTGCTCATTTAAAATTTACTCATCTAGTTTTACCAAGCTGTAAGGAAAGGGCCTCACATTTTCTCACATGATGATGGAAAGTGGTTTGAATGTTTACTTCTTTAATTTCAGGTACAGTTGAGTCCAGGTATATACCCCGTAGTTAAAAAAAGGATATACAAATGGAATATAAATGATGGAAAGTATGCTTATAAAGGACATGAAGGGAAACACTGCCAACAAATGAAGGGGCTGTAATTGAACATGGGGGGACTTTCACAGTGACGCCCCCTGGCGGGAAGGATGCTTGAGAACAATAACCATTCTTTTAGCAGCTGAGGACGGGATTTCTTTCTGAGCTGAGTGTTAACCTCCTGGTACATTACTCCCAAGAAGCGGGTTTATGACAGCACAGCACATCTCCTGCAGAATAATTGCCTCACATTTAACGCAGATAAACAGCCTCCCTGCTTCCTTTTGCTGGGGAGATGGCCGACATATTAAGGGATTTCTTTCCAGTAACTATTTCTCTCTTCTACAATCTACTTAACATGGAATCAATCATCAACATTGTTCTAGTAGAAGAAAGTGTCCCATTTATCAGGAGCTGTGTATGTGCCTTCCTTCATCACAGGGCGGTTTTAAAACAGTGATGAAAGAGACAAATGCCAAGGGCAGTGACTTCAGGACGGATGCGTCTTACAAATGAAGAGCACGCTGCTGGCATCTCTTCCATGGCTCGCCTGCCGCCTCCAGCACATTAAATCGTGAACATCTAAGAAGGCAGGGCTCTCTGCCTGATGCTCTGCTTTCAAACTTTAACCAAGATGTATTTGCTAAGTGACATAAATCGTGGGAATATACATACCACTGGGCCAGGATCACCTTTTGGGCCCTGTGAGAGAAAAAAAGGAAAGCTATTTTTAAAAGCATGACGGAAGCAAAACTACCAAAGAGGAAGCATTTTTGGGGGGTCTGATTTGCTTTAATACACATACAAATATTTGCAAGTTTTGTTCTTCTACTGTTTGGATTTGAAGAATGAGATGAAGAAACATAATTTGATGGAACTTTCATGACAGCAATTGATTGGAAATTGATTTAGTTCTTAGACTTTTAATGCGAAAAGTGGCACAGCGATGCATAATGCTACTTTTCATTATTTTTGGCTGTGTACGTTTTCTCAGTTTTATTATAATTGGTTTCATTATGTCCTCCAGCATAACATGTTGGTTATATCTGTAACACGTATTTTGGTGTGTGCACTTAGGAGTTATTTTTGTTTGCGTTGTTTTGTTTTAGTTGTGGTTGTTCAGCTAAGGTATGCTTGGTGATAAACAACTGTACTCACAGGGGGTCCAGGGGGCCCTGGATAACTGGGAACAGTCACGCCTCCCTTAAAAAAAAAAAGGATGACAAGAATTATATTAATCCATAACCAAAAAGCTATTCTATGTAATTATAAAGGCAAATACCTGGATTTTATATAAACTGCTCATTCCATTTCCTTCAGTGAATGGCACACCCTTAGGAAAGAAAAGAGACATAGAATTATTCCTTTATTATTATTATTTTTTTTTTTTACAAAAAAGGTATTTTTCCTGTTCTATTTTAGAAAGTGAGTTTAATACCGTAAGTAAAACAACACAGTGTTTCTATTTTGGGCTCTTCCAAAGCAAATGTAGAGGAAGAAATGGGAAGGAGTGTGAACTCCACCTGGAGCACACAGGCACATCCAGGAGGGGTGTGATGAATGCTCAGGTTTGACAGGCGAGACGCTAATGCACTCGGAGGAAAAATGTTATTGGTGCATTAAAATTCAGCTTCTGAATTGCCGATTTATGCAAACTGTTTACAGCCCGCTGACCTGCAGTCTGTACCACAGTCCTGCTGATGAAGATGTGAATAGGGAACAATTTGGCTACTGAAGTCATTTTTTCCCACAGTCGCTTCATGCTAAACAGAAAATTAAGGTTAAATGGGACGGTGTTATTCACAACCCTCTGTGGCTGTTTCTACAAAAACATATTCTTGAGAACAACGGGGAATAAGAACTTCCTAATGAAATTGGCTTGTGATTGGAAAGTCCCAAAATAACAAACACAGAGAACTCATTTGAGACCTTTAAAAATCACATGCGTTGGCATTCAGGAAAAATTTGCATATGAAAATTTTACTTAGGATCTTTCATCATTTTTAAACAAATTTCCATACAATCACTAATCTGCATTTCTCTTTTTATGGCTTTCACATTTCCCATGCAAAATTGAAAAAGCCACCATTTCACTGTTTTAGGATAATGGTTATCATTTGAAGATTTGCATCTTCAAATCACTAGTGATGGAAGAAAAAAATGCTCCATTCATTTACGTCTTTATTATTTCACTCATTAATTTGACAACTGCTGAATGTCTGCTCTATTTTAGTGTGCTAAGTCCTGGAACGATGGAGGATAATTTTGTCCGAGATTCCCCTCCTCACCCCAAAGGTGAGAGGTTTCCCCCAAAAGACAACATTAATCTGTCTTGAAGAATAAGTAATTTTGGAGGATTCAGGGGGAAGAGAAAGATTTTTTTAAGCCCGTTATAAAATACAGGTCTCTTTTGTGGGTTCAGTTTATATTTTGCTGCTTTGTCCACTGGAGACGGGGTGTATCTTAGGATCTGAGCCCCAAATGCTTTCTGTCCTGTTTCCCTGTCAAGGGAGAAGGAAAACAGAGTGAAAATCCCTCCTTTGAGTGTGCAAAGCCTACATTCCCATGAAGACTATATTCATATCTCTGCGGTCTTCAAAAAGTCACAGAGGAATTCTGCCCCTTCTCCAGTGAGTTTGGCTTCTAAAGTATAATATTCCTAGGAGGCAGGGTGGACCGCAGTTCTGCGATTTGAGCGTGGCCCCACACGAGGGCAGACTTGCTACAGAGAGAGGTGCCTCTTCTCTTCGCCTCCTGACCAAGTGCATATCTGTCTCAATCAGGAGCATAAAAACACCGATGGCTCTTGTACATTTTATCCAGCAGGTGCTATATAAAGAGAATTTCCTTGCATCTCAGACATAATGGACTGCAGTGAGCACATATAATACCAAACCCTGCACCTACTCACGTTGTTGGAAGGGATCTCTTTTTAAAGCCCACCTGTTTTCTGTGAATGAGGCTGGCTGAGGTTTAATGACTTTTTCATGACCCCCCAGGCAGGAAGTGGAGAGTCTGGGCACCTACCCAGGTCTTCTGAGTCCACAGCAAGGAGGCCTGCAGTATGCAAACCTGAGCACTTCTCACTGGAGCAGAGCTAAAGGGGAAACACCAGGTCTCCCCAAAGCTACCCTGGCTAACATATATATGGATACATAAAACACAGGTGACTTTTTATCCTTAAGAACCTCTACATGTAGTCTGACCTTTGAGATGCAGACGTTCTAAGTAGGCAGACACAGATTTAACTTTTAAACCTGAAACAACTCACAGGCGGGCCAGGAGGTCCAGGTCTCCCAGGAGGTCCTTCACTGCCCTGCAAGGGATATTCAGACCAAAAATCAATGGTTTAGACTAGGGGTGTCGAACTCAATCAGAGAAGGGGCCAAAATCTAAAATCCAGCCTAAATCGCGGGCCAAATGGTTTACTGAATAGTCATAAACTGTCACTGTGATGGAAACGCAGCGGAGTGCAGTGATGACAGCGCGGTGCGGGCCACATTGCAAGGCCTGGCGGGACGGATTTGGCCCGCGGGCCTTGTGTTTGACACATGTGGTTTAGACATTTCCACCCCAGGCTGATGGACCAGATTGTTCCTGCTCTGAGAACCACATTTTGAAATCAATATGGGCTGTCCTTGTGTTTTGGCCTTACAAGGTCTTCTTCAGCTTGGCTTTTCTCTTTCATCAGGAAATACATGTCTAGACCGCATGAAAGGTAAATGCCGTTTCCTATACTCACTCAGATCCTTACTCTGGGAGCCCAGGGATGAGGCTTATTTTTCGATGGAGCCAGACAACCCAGGAAATCCCATCCTGGGCCTCGAGAGCAGCTGGGGGAACTCTCCACTTGTGGGGGTGCAGAGCAGAGCTCGGGCGAGCAGGGGACAAACCACTCACGTCAGCCTTACCGCTATGCCTCCAACTTTTGGGACCCATAGGGGTCATCTGCGTAATCTGACCAAAGTAGAAAATCACAACCTATTTGATGTCTGCAAGAGGGGAAGCCTCTCTCACCTCCTAAGCTCATATTAGACTTTATAGCCAAGTCAGGCATGTCCCACGGAACAGAAGTGACTGTGGTTCGATACTCTTTCAGATAAATGTTCTGTACAATTTAAACAGCCTCAGACATTCTGTTTACAGGAGAAGCAGACTGAAAAATGAATTCAAGTTGAGACCTGAGAAATGGATTTCACTTTTATTTTTATAAAACCAGAATGCTGATCAGTCCATAACGAGCAGAGGTATTGTGGTCCCTTTGGTGCCTTTAATAAATTCTTCCTATAAATTTTCTTTTAGAATCTTTTAAGTCCCTTAAGACCATTGGCATGAAATGGTTAATTAAAAAAAAGAATTCAGAATTCCTACTTACTGTGTCCCCAAGTTTTGAGGGATTTCAACCCATTTCTATAAATTTAATGAAGGGTTTCAGTCCCATCTCCCCATTTTTAAAGAACAGCATCATAAGAAAACCTTTTGTTTGCATCTTTGTCAATGAAAATAAACTGTAAAGTTTTTCTTGCCATGTGTCTGACTGAGAATGTGTCAATGAGAATATTGTATCTTTGCCCAAATCGCTTTGATGGCGGCTATCTCTCCAGGACATGCCAGATTCCGCTGACTGCGGGCAGTGTCCTTCCAGAATTATGTCATAGTTCTCACGAGCTATGAGGGGACAACAAACAAGGAAAAATGTGTGCCTGTTGAAAAGACTTTTATTCCTGGCACAATTAAAAGACATATTTTCATCCTCAACTGCGCCCTAAAGCTCATCCAGTGTGGAATCCCGTTAACTTCAAAAGGCACATCTCTGCCTGAATAATTTCCACAGAGAACAGAGAAGAAAGGCTGGTGGGGACGGGCAAGCGCCTTGGAACACTATCAGAAAAATATGCGTTGAGACTATTTAGAAGAAGCACATTGTTTCCTTTCACATTTTTGAGGGGATTCCTTTGTTTCCCTGATGCCATTTTGTCCCATTTTGGTGATTTCAGGGCAGAAGCCACTTGCATGCCTCGTGTGGACTTTTGATTGTTACTCCCCTCATCTGCGTAGCTAGTCTTATTTCACTCATTTTTCTGGCTCTGTCTGGATTCACATTGCGGGGCCAATTTAGATGCTAAATCAGGTAAACGTATGAAGCCCTGTGGCCTTCCGGTCTGTCTCCTGTATTGCTGCTCCTCCCTTCTGACCACAGCAACCCATTACTTGTGCAATGAGCAGCCTCCCCAGGAAATAAGCCCCCTTGGTGAGGAGGAGAGAGGAGGAAGCTAGGCAGCCAGGAATTGGGACCACGGGGGTGGAGAAACAAAACCAGGGAACCCAGCTAAGGGAGTCCCTAAGGCATCTCAACTGGGTGGGGAAAGAAGGACACCTGCAAGAGGCACGAACTTTAAAATGTACAGATGTTGCTAAGACAGGCAGCTTGCAGATAACCACTCACAAGACAGTGAGGCATATAACCAATCCCAAGAATATTATTAAGGCACAATTCTTTGAAAAGACCATTTAGGAGCTAGCAAGGTGTAATCCACCCCCTAATTAAAAAAGTGGGCGCCTCCTCTCGCCCTCACCCTTCTCCCTGGCACGCATTGGGTTCCTGACATCCCTGTGGTGCGGGGGCACATCCCTGCCCCACGTGGCTTTGGCCACGTGAGGCTCCACACATGGGCCGATAGACCTGAACACCCGGCTGTGACATGGGAAGGCAGCTCTGGGCACTGCCTGCTCCTGGGACCCCAGCTGCCCCTTTCCCAGGGTGGGTTTCTCTCAATAAACGTTGGTTCCACTAATCGCTTTTTGTCCGTGACTTCATTCTTTGGTTTTGCAGGACAATGAACTCAGACTCAAACCCCCACCTTTTGGTTTCACTACTGGTTCCTTAGTAAATTTCTCCCACGACTCTCACATAACAGAACTGCCCGGTTTTCTCGGCAGCCGCCTGCTGACCAGCCTGCTCTCCGAAGCCTGGGCCCCTGTGGCTGGAAGCCCCGACACAGACAAGAGGTGCTGGGACTGCACCTCTTCAGGAGGCTGCTCCCACTCCCCCTTCCACAAAGCGCCACGGCCAGGACCCGGGTCCGGCTTCGCCTTTTGCTATATGGCACCAGTGTTCTCTTCATCTTTACTCTAGGAACGTATTTCTTATATTCGTTGAGGCCAATTTTTTGACCTATGTCCTCCTAAGCCCACTATCAGAAGAGCTATTCCCTGACATCAATTCCACTCTGGCGATCTCTTTGTAAATGGTCTCAGGCCCCCGTTCAAACACTAAGGGAGGCTTCTCCTCCGTACCTTGTCACCCTTAGATCCAGAGGGACCCGGATGTCCGGTTCTTCCCAACAAGCCCTGTAAGACACAAAACTAAGTTCGCTACAGAAACCAACAACAAAGTGGCCACAGGGTATTGACAGTTGGTCTAAAACTGATACATTTTGAAGGTCATTTAATCCTAATTAAATCAGTCTTACATGCTTCCATTTCTTCAGGCTGATGCAGCAGCTGTAGCCTGCTGATAAGCTCTTGCAAGGGTAAAATTTGTATTTGTGGCTGCTTTTCACCTTGGCCAACCACATTTAATGACCTTAATTGGAACCTTTTGATACATTTAAGAATTTAGCCTTGCTGTTTAAATGGCAATTTACATAACATTATGCCTTCCTAAATGAGCTATAATTTTGGTAGCGATCAACATTTTACATACTTCAAGACGCGGCAGAATTAACAATGTGCATATTGAGTTATGTGATCTGCAACTTACCAGTGGCAAATAAAATTTAATGTTAATTCTTTTTTTGAGAATAGAGTTAGCTATAATTTTCATGGTTCCTTTCACAACCCTCTTTCTTAATTTTTAATTTTAGTCTACAATTTAAAGCCAGGTTTGTTTGTACATAACTGTGGTGAAAGCAAAAATGATAAAATTTTAATTATGGAAAATCCATGATTCAACACATTAAGGAAAGTGATTACATTTCTCACTTGTGTGGTAAATACCATTTGCATAGGAACTCTAAGAAGGGAAGAGTTGGAGAAGTTAAGAATAGTGTTGCTATCTTTAGCAAATGAAAATACAATATTTGGCCAGGACCGGTTTGGCTCAGTGGTAGAGCGTCGGCCTGCGGACTGAAAGGTCCCGGGTTCAGTTCCAGGCAAGGGCATGTACCTTGGTTGCGGGCACATCCCCAGTAGGGGGTGTGCAAGAGGCAGCTGATTGATGATTCTCTCTCTCATCGATGTTTCTAACTCTCATTTCTCTCTTCCTCTCTGTGAAAAATCAATAAAATATATTTATTAAAAAAAAGAAAAGAAAAAGAAAATACAATATTTGGGCCCTGGGTCCTGTGGCTCAGTTGGCGGAGTGTGATCCCATGCACTGAAGAGTCTCAGGTTTGGTTCCTGGTCAGGGCACACACACAGGCTTCCGTTTCAATCCCTGGTCCTTTGCTTGTAAGGGCAACTGATATATGCTATAAAGCAACCTATCTATGTTTCTCTCATTGATATTTCTCTCTCTCCCCCTCACCCTTACTTCATCTCTAAAAATCAATGAAAAAACATATCCTTGGATGAGGATTAAAAAATACACTATTTGGAACATTCTAAAAATATTGTTCAGATGACATTAAAATTGAACTGAGTGTCCTATATTTTAACCGGAAACACTAGACTTGAGCTTTGCTTTAATGAGAAACTGCATCTAGCAGGTGGAAAAGGAAAATATATTTTATTTTTTTGAAACACAATATAACCAAAGACACAAAGACAATGGTGTTGTGTCTGAGGGTAAGTGAGAAAGGTACTGAGTAAAGTAGAGGGCATTTTCATTCATAAATGGGAATGAAAATAAATTGAATCTGATGATCCATGACCAATTTCTTCCCTGTAGAAAATAAATTCTTAGTTTATGGTGCTCAAGAATGTAAAGGTGTAACCATCTAAATATCTCTTCCAAAGGTTAATGCCAAAAAAGTGCAATTAAAAAATGGAATATTCTTTTCTATCCAACTTCTTTTCAAATAACTAGTTTAATCCCAGACTTATTTCTGGTCAGGTAGCAACCCTGAACAACCTTAAGTAATACTAAATGAAAATAGTAGATGCTACTTTTCTATGCAACAGCTGGAAAATCTACATAGAAGCACAGAGAACAAAAAACAATGAAAAAATATTAGTTCACCTTTCATCACTCCAGCAGATATGAACCATGGGCAGGACAGTTCTAGAAAATACTTACGGGGGGTCCAATTGGACCTGGAGCACCCGGAATGCCTGGAATTCCTTGAAGACCCTGGAAGAGACAGTTCCTACCATAAAATCTATCAGATCAGTGAAAACAAGGCATTTTACTTAACCAAGTAATTTTACTACTGAAAATTAAACATCTATGTTGACTAATCAAAAACCATGATACATGCCCTATTACAAATACCCAATTTCAAAGAGTCTTGTGTAATGGGGAGGAGGAGATCAATGGGGGAATAAAGAGAGGCATTTGTAATATTTTCAACAATAAAGATAAATTTAAATAAAAGAGTCTTGGGGAAAATCTTATGTGTGCTTGTGTTAAATAATGTGGACATATTCTTTCTTCAAGATGATATCATCCTCACTGGTAATACTATGTGTGAGTGTGTGTGTTCATCCACACCAGCATGTGTATGTGTGAATGGTATGAGTTAGGACAGTGGTAAGCAAACTCATTAGTCAACAGAGCAAAATATCAACAGTACAACGATTTAAATTTATTTTGAGAGCCAAATTTTTTAAACTTAAACTATACAGGTAGGTACATTGTTATTAATTTAATTAGGGTACATAGTATTTTGTGGAAGAGCCAAGCTCAAGGGGCCAAAGAGCCGCATGTGGCTCAAGAGCCGCAGTTTGCCAACCACTGAGTTAGGATATTGTACTGGCTCTTTTTATTCACCCACCATTATTTTTTTTTACAGGTGTATAAGTAGAAAGAAAAAAAAATTTCTTTGGGAATGGCAGCTCTAAATATCTGGAAATTAGAAATGCTATGCCACAAATTGCTTTATCTAAAAATACCAACATCTTCATAAAATTCTCTCCATATGTACATGTATAAAATATGCAATTACTTATGTAATTTTTTGCTACTCTTAGTTTCAGCACTGAATCAGCCTAGAGATGCTGAGTGAGTCTTTAGGCAGTCTAATTTATAAGCTTAGGACTCATTAACCTTTGATGACCACATTAAACTTTAAAATAAATCTCAGTCCATAAATAAAAAAATCATTCTTGGCAGTCTTTTTCTGAACAAGCTGAAATTTTGGAGTAAGGGTAAAAGTTACTATGGATGCATAAAGGGCAATAAGATAATTTTAGAAGACAAGGTGGTCATTAAAGAAGATGAATATATATTAAAGAGTAGGACAGTCAATTTAGCATATAGTGCCAAGCTAAAATATAAATTAAAGTTTATTGCATAGATATTCAGGGACAACTAAGTTCTTTCCCTGCTCTAATATTTTCATTTTGCAAGTCCTAGCCCAGCTGCTACAAGAAAATTTATTTATTCATTGTAATAATTTATGGCTGACAATATTTTCACGTCCTACTTATTAATTATTATTCTGAGGTATTATAGGAAGGCCTGCATTCCAAGCAAGAATTTACTTAGACTATAAGATGTGTGTTCTATCTGCAACTTACAAATTGCTACCTTAAGTTGTGAAACATCCACAAAAAACATAGAAGATAATGTCACTTTTTCTAAGACCAATAAACAAACAGACAAATCCTGTCTCTAAGTTCCCAGATAGAACTTAACTTTCTGGAATTCCCTATGTAATAAGAATCTTGTGCAAGATATTGTGCACTCTGTTAAAGGTCCATCAGGTGTCCTTAAGAAAAAAAACACTAAAATAGCAGAGGAATAATAGCAATGGATTTCAATTCACCAAGAAGATGAAGTATCTATCCTGTTAAATCAATAAAAATTAACTTCTAGTAAATTTGACTTAGAGTCTCTTAAAAAAAGGCCTGAATTCTAATTATTTCCTGGTCTTTTTGTCATTACCTTCTCAATCGCCTCTGAAGCCTACCTCTTGAATCTAGGCACTTAACAGATATTAGAATATTAAAATCAGTTATTGTGCTTGTATTTCAATGAAACATCCTATGGAACATGAAGAAGCAACTCTTAATTTGAAAATAAAATGCCCTTACAGTCTTATTTATGAATGAAAATAAATATTATGTTTCTATTCTTCAATTTTTAACTTGGAAAAAATCAAGAGCCAACCCTCAGTTTTCTAGAATAGGATCTATATTAATAAAAAAGAATAATACACAATGATCACTTACAATTTGAAACAAAACTCCAACTCAAAAAATAGATCTACTTCATACCATTATGATTTTCTGTACTAATATCAAGGTTAATATATGCCAGATGGCTTACTTACTTTCATTAAGAATTATTAGCATCAAAACTATTCAAACTAACAACAATTCATCATCCTAATAGGTTTTTCTAGTAGTTAATGTGAATTATGCAGAAGAATGATACCCTGAGCATTACCATGGCTTCGAGTCAGAAACTTACAGCATCATCTCAAAAGCACATTTGACTTTGAACCTTAGTCTGGGGATGGGCAACTGATTTAAGCTAGTCCAATCAGATTCTTTTCTCCCAAGGGTTTGAAAGTTGAACAGACACACTGACAAAACAAGGTCATTGAAGTTGAGTCATATTAGAGCCAAGTTCCAGAAAAGTCCTGCTGAGTTCTGGGGCTGTTCTTATCTCTAGATTGGTTCTTTAACTATTCTTCCCATCCTACTAGCTATCTTGGGATATTTGTCAATGAAACCCCCCTTCTCCAACCCCATGCTTTTTTTTCTTCTTAATTGTCTTTTTAAAAAAATTTAAATTCTTTATTGTTTAAAGTATTACAATGCTCCTTTTTCTCCCATTGACCTCTCCCCAGGCACCCCAACCCCCATGCACAAGCCCTCACCCCCCTACTGTCTGTTCCAATGGTTTTGCTCATATGCATGCATACAAGTCCTTTGGTTGATCTCTTGCTCTCACCACCACCCCACTACCCCTGCCCCCTTGGCCTTCCCTTATACAACTCCTGAATTTTATTTTGGGAGCGCTAAAATTATCATCTGCTACATGAAAATAGAAACATAACTGATATATTAACTTTGTGTTTTAATTTCATTGTCTTAAAAACTGGACCATTGATACTAAACCTTAACATATTAATATATTTTAAATGTTGCTAACATTTGAAAAGACCTAAGTCTTTGTGTTGTTGTTTTTTTGTTTCAGTATTAAATATGAATTCTAGAAAAATTATGTCTTTCTTTTGATGAGTTACATAAAGAGAATCAATAGGACTATATTATCAGAGAAGCATCTTTTACCTCATCGCCTTTCTCCCCAGGTATGCCAGGGTAGCCCCGTTCTCCTTTGCTTCCCTAAAAAGACAATACACTCAGCAAGTACACCCAGTCACTGTGTCATCTTTTGAAACAATGACAGTATCTTTTCTCAGGATACTTGGGCCATATAACTTGGACAGAGTTAGGGAACAAATAAATCACATTTGCCAATGGCTATATACCAATTTTCCAAAACTATTTTTTGTAAGAAGTAGTGTATTTCATAACAGGTTTCCTTTTTTCACACTGAATTGGAGGTCACACAAAGGGGAGTGAAGAAGAGAGCTTCCTTACCTTTGGTCCTTCTCTGCCTGGGATTCCTGGAGGACCCCGTGGCCCCATGTCACCCTGGAGGACAGGGGAATAGCAGGTCTGAGAGAAGGCTCTATGTGTCACCTACAAAGCCCATCCATACCCAGCCTGCCTTTTTACCTTCTGGGCTATAGAATCATACTTTCCGGGCTCACCAGTGCCTCCTTCTTCTCCTTTGCTGCTTTTGAGCCCAGGGACACTGGTTTGGCAGTTGCCACAAACGTTCTAAGGAGTAAAAAGACAAGGAGACTGAGAGATTCATGAAAGTCATCTATAAAAGGGAGGCTTGATCAAATTTGGAGTTCTAATTGAGCGGTTGCCAGAGATAAGTGATAGAACAATTGCTATATCATCACTTTCAGAAACTTAATTTATCCAATTTGAAAAGACTATTTTTTTTTGTGAAGTAAAAACTTCACAAAAGAGATGCCTGAGGACTAGTCACTAATATCTAGTCACTAATATATGTTTCTGATACTGGTGAGCTATTTAAAAAACATGTCTATAATGATATTTTAAAAGGAAAATTCTAAATAAATAAGGAATAGACATGTCAGTCAAGTAAGCAGACTGATGTCAACTGCCTAGTAGCATGTTTAAAAAAAGAGGTGGGGAAATTAAGAATAAAAAGGGAGGTGGCATTATAGTTTATAATAACAAGCAAGATTACAGAGCTCATACAGCCAGTACAATAAATTCTTAAAAGAGAAAGAAAAAGCTGTTAGAGAATTCTACATAGTTTACCGACATTTTATTTGTCAATGGAAGCACTCATGCGATTAATAATTACTTGAGTGACTTGGACCTGACTTCTATGTCAGATCCAAGTACAGATAGGAAATCTAAGTGGAATTACCTTTTAATTGCCTTCTCAGTAACCTTTAGCTGTTGGAAAAGGCTTGAATTTAAGTGTCTGAGCTTCCAAGATAAACATCTTACCATGTATCTAAAGAAAAATTGTCTGCAAAAAGCCCTGGAAAGGCTTATTGTTAAATAAATTGTTAAATGAAAATATTATCAGGAAAGGCACAAAATAGGAACCATTGGATAGGAGAGAAAGTTTAGTTTTAACAGTTGACAGAAGATAGGACACTAGAAGCCTCTACCCTTTCATCCCTTTCACCAAAGGGAAGATTCTTTAAGCCTGAAGAGGGAACTAAAGCTTGCTATTGCGAAGTTAGAAAAAAAATTGCTCATGGCTGTTCAAGTTCAATATTTTTGACCCATTGAATATTAGCCTAAGTCTGATTTCCAAATAAATTAGTTTCCCTGGAAAACTAATTTTATATGATAGTGAAAAAATTCTAAGACAATTCATCTAAAAAAAATGCTGGGCTAGAGCTCTTTTCATGGTAGGCCTTCTTAGTTCTCTTCATGGTGGGATGTGTAAATGGGAACTAAAGTATTGTTTCTTAAACTAATTTTACCATCAGGATCTTTTTACAGAGGCAATGAGTTGGCAGAGGAGTTAAAAAAAAAAGTACATATACAATTGTAAACGACCACTTATAATGTCTGAAAAACCATAATGAGAAAGATAGATGCTGAGGACTTAAGAGAACCAAAAAATTTCTCATATTTAAAAAAGTATGAAAAATGAATTATTGTATCTATAAACATACATATAAATGTGGAATATCAGTAGAGAGCAAAACCCTGACATATTAATATACAACAACACTTTAGAATAGAGTATTCAATTGATTATTTTAATAAAACATAAAAAATATGGCAATCATTAAGAGTCAATAGAATTTTCTAAGTGTCATTTCAAACTGTCCTCATTTTCTTTAGTGTAAGATTACCAGAATGGTAAATTAATGGTAAACTAATTTTCATTAATGGTAAATTAGTTTTTATTAAGCTTCTTGAAAAAAAATGTCCTAAGATTTCCTTATGAAGAAGATAAGGATGCACCGATTATTAGTCAATACATAGGGTATCATTTGTGTCTGGAATTATTTCAGCTCTTTTCAATACTTTAATCAAAGATATTTTTGAAAACAGAAATCAGGATGACTAAATTTGCTAAAGACTCAAGACAGAGAAGGAAAGTTAATGAGTTGAATAACAGGGTCAGGATTTAAAATGGCATTATTAAGTTGGCCTAATAGAGCCAATCCCCAATCTAAATTTCTGTATTAGATTTTGCTTCGGGGAATTACAAGCTTTCCTATTCTATTGAATACAGTTTGTGGGGACTATCAGTCAACGTGTCCTGCCCTCCTCTTGCCAATCGGCTCTCCTGGGTCTCAGAGCGTCAGCTGAGATGCTAGGCCTGGAAAAATGGCAGAGAGCTGGATTAGAAGAGTGTTACCCTGGTGAAACTGTCTGAATTCCAAGAGCCTTGCAGTCCTGGTCCCTCGCCATGTCAGAGCCTAGTCCGTCTTTTTGATCCACCCCATATCCCATCGGGATATTCATTTCTGCTTACATGTACACATTTTTTATCCTTACAGTAAAGAACCCTAACTATTTTGGAATGGTATAACACTTACAATTCTGCTATTTACAACATTACTGCATTGTAAAGAACTGAGACAATGTCTGAGGACTTGTATTCCTATGTTCATGTTACACTTATGAGCTGTGTGACTCTGAGCAAGTTACTTAACTGCTGGGAGCCTCAGTCTTCCATCTACAGAACGGGGATACTACCACAGCCTGCACTCATAGGATTGTTGTGAAATTAAGTGAGGTTACAAAAGTAGAGCAGCACACTGCCTGGCATGTAATTTTAACTCAATAAATATAAGATATTCTTGAAATGCCCATAAATATTCTTTTCTTATTAGACAATGTTGACCTTTGAAGGTTTTAAAAACTTCTATATTTTTATATATATTCATATTGAAATTCATATTTACATTTATATATATCTATTCTCAAAACTTTAATCACCTAACAAGTATATATACTAGAATTCCTGAGTGTTTTAAATTCAACAAATATTCCTGCCTGCCTACTACTATGTAAATAATTGTACAAAACATTGGGTAAATGCCAGGAATATAAAATAAATACATATACACACACATAACCCAAATGTATGTGTCTCTCTCTGTGTGTATACACATATACACTGTCCATTCACACAGAGACAGATAAAACACATTAACATTTGAATATAATGTAAAGAATCAGATTTTCATGTGGGTTCACTCTATCTTAGCATACCATGAAGAAATGCAAATACATAAGAGTTATGGAAGTCCCATTATCATTCCCCCCATCTGTTTTACAAATAAAACACAGGGAAGTATTAGAGAAAAATGGCAGCAAGATTTATTCCCTCTGAGATGCAAAGAAGTAGACATACTTCTTATTTGACAGAGTAACAGGTGTTAAGGCAATTGTTGGCTTTGGAACTTGAGAGTTCATTTTGTAAACTCCCATGATATCAAACCTCAGCCTTGCAATCTAGCTGTTTATTGAGAAGCACTAGGTTTTCATCCTGGGTCTGGCCAGGGCAGATACAGGGAGGAGGATTAGGTTTCTCAGTGGTGAGCCGGGGTGAGTAAACACCCGTTAAGAGAGGAGAGAATGATCTACTCAAGGGTGTCAGTGACAGGATTCCTTCCTTGTGGTTCATCTCAGTATTATCATCTCTCCCCTCCCCCCACTTCTACACCCAAAACGGGAGGGTGGTGATGAAGGAGAGAGTAGAAGGATTAGTATAAAGGACGCAAGGTACATAAAAATACATGTTCCTTTTTTCTATCTTATAGATGTTCTGCCACTTAAAAATTGAATTTTAGTTCAGGCTAAGCAATTAACTTCTTGTAAAGATTTCCTTTCTGATTTTTCCTGGAAATTAACATGTAATTTCTTACATAGCAACAAAGTACCTTGAGCAAAACACCGATGTCTCCCAAGAGAGGAAGTGCAATCTGTGGTTGAGAAAAAGAGCAGATCCATGTATTTGTACATATACGGGCACACAATACGATGCAGACATTCAACACAATGTAGACATTTTAAATAAATACTCATTATTCCTCTCCTACGAACAGCCAAACACATGCATATTATTGTTTTGATTCTCTGTCTCTATTTCATATTTTCATGACCGTGGCAACCTTTATGCCAACCCTAACATATTACTGGTTTTACACTTGATCTCAGCCGAAAGGCTGAGAAGCAATTTACTGTTAACGTTTTAAATAATGCATAAAGGTAAATCATTTATTCAAAGAAAATCACTCTTCTGCCAGGCAAATTATCAAGCTGTTGAAAAATATAAAAATTACAGGATGAATTTGCCTTCAAGTTCTTTCTCACTGAAACTTAAAAGAGCCTATATGTGGCTTAAGGGATGGGCAAGACAGATCCGGAGGGAATTCAGGCAGTGTTTTGGCCTCATGCCTTAAGTTGTCCCTTCAAAGAGACACTGTAAACCCAAGGAACGCTTTACAAGATTCCCAGATGATGCACCGTGATTCACTCGGTGGTGGAGTTCAAGTACAGCTGAAACATGCCTCTGCATGTAGCTTATAAAGGCACACAGGGCCCAGCCAGTATGGGAACTAGAAGGATTTGTGAGGCTTAGAACTGAGAGGCCAGATTTGGATTTTATTATACGAAACTCTTAATACAATGTCATGTTCCATATGGCCTCTCAAATTAGAGCTGCTGAATCTGAGGCTATTTAAAGATTTCTCTGTCGCTCAAAGCAAGATTTAAGCTAAAGTAAAACTTTGGAACACACAATTAGTGCCTAAACTCATTTTGTAAGAGCCCACTCCAGACACTTTTTTGTAATCTAATCATTTCAGCATTTTAAAGCCACAGAATCAATGGCTACATACCATATTGTAAGTAACTTACCTGCAAACTTCCATTTAGAGAAATGAAATTCATTTAGCCACTAGCATTAGAAAGAACAGAAATTGTGGCTATAGATTTTAACTCAATTTTCCATGGGATTGAGACATTATCTGCCAAGGCACAGCCTGGGGCAAAAATTGTACAGCTGAACTATACCCTGAGGAAGTAAATATTCATCACACACGCAAAAATGCTGACACAGCTTGACTTTTCCCCCCTCTACAAAATAATGGGGACAAACAAAATCACCAGGCAGTCACTGAGCATTCTAATTAGTTTGGACAGCAAAACTTGCTTGGTAGGCTGTTTGGCTTCTGGGTGTATTAAAGGTACATAAATCAGGCAGTCTGTTGACATACCGGGTCACCTGGGGGGCCTGGCAGCCCTGGCTTTCCATCCCTCCCTGGAGCTCCCTGAAAACAGAAACATGTTCACATCTCCGCACAGAGGAACAGGTGAGATTAAATAGGTTGTGGGGGAGGAGTCGGCCCAGGCTGTCCTTACATCATTCCCTGGAGTTCCTGGCAATCCAGGGTGGCCTCGAGGACCCTGGAAAAGGGGGGAAATAGTGACTTATGAGGATGGTCTTTCAGTAATTTCCCCCGGGTCAGCAAGCTGGATTTGCAGTGCCTCATAACTTGGTTGAGTAGCTTACCTGAATACCTGGCTCTCCAGCTGGTCCTTGAGAGCCCTGAGTGGAATGAGATGCAATGATCAGAATTCTGCCAGGAATGTCCATAAATTACCCAAGGGGGATAAAGGGCTAAGGATGGAGATTTACTTAGTGGAACCACACGGCTTACAACCAGGCACACCCTGAAAACTCTCTGCAAAGTCAGCCCAGATTTTTGGGTGACAGGTAAACACTTCAGTAGATGCCTGTTTCTGAAAACATCCACATGGTTTACCTCAGCTGCCACACGGTTTTGCTCTCTCCGCACCATCATCAGTCCCTGTATCCTCATGAATGCACAAATAGTGCATCCAAATTCTACCTCTTCAGAAACTGACTGCCCACAGGGTAAGCCCACAGGGCATCAGCAATGGCTCCCAGACCTTTCCTTTTCCTATTTTTTATATAAATATTCACAGTACTGTTATTGTCAAAGCTACTTTTGCTCCCTGTCTATTTGTACTATGTTCTTTTTTTTTTCCTTCAACCTTATCCATTCCTCTAATAATTTTCTGGTCTACTTTCTTTTACTTTGTTTAATCTCCAGTGGTCTTTTATAGTCCTGCTCTGGAAAATCAAACAGCAGTCAACACACAACTGACTTCACTACTAATACCTCCTTTTGGCTCTCATAACTTCATTACAAGAGCAGTTTCCCAAATGTCATTAAAATAAGCATGTATTCCACTTTTATTGGCCCAGAATCATTGTGTTTTTAAAATAGCAAATAAAAAGCTTTATTGCTTATTATTATTTAGTCAGCAAGTATGCATACACTGGTCATTATTACCAGGCACTCTCTTTATAGCTAAAACATGTAAAAAACCTGCCTATTCTTAACTATTAAAAACAAATTCTCTATTCTTTAAGATAATACTCAGAGATGTTTCATATCATCCCTTCCATACATACTCCATTTACTTTAAATATTACCTTTTTATTTTATTCTACTTAAAAGCAAATAGTAATCTATAATAACCTAGTAGTAGGCATTTTGATAATCATGCAAACATTCACTCATACTTTTTAGTATATAGAATAGAGGAATGAAAGGTTAGATAACTGTTTCTATCCCAAATCAGTGTATGTATGGCCAACCCTGTAAGTCACACACTGAGTGCCCTCTCTGTGCTTTGCAACGTAACCTCAGTGCCCTTTAATTCTTTCCCTCTGACCAGTGTTTATTGGTATTTCCTCCTCAGACCCTTTTATTCTTTTCTCCTTTTCAAACTTGTCACTGGATTTTGTTTCACAATATTGGAATCAACAGGGTTTCAAAAACTCAATTGGATTTCACTTACTGTTCGGCCAGGAATTCCGACCCCTGGTGGGCCTATGTCACCTGGGGAGCCGTGGACACCAGGCAGCCCTCTTTCTCCCTGGAAATGAGGTGCTTCTGTTAGTGCAGTGCCCAAAGGATGTAAGCTTTGTGGCTGTATTATATTAATGAATAATTCTTTAAAAATCGCCTATGATATTTTTATACCTTTGGCCCACGGGGCCCAGGTGCCCCAGGATTTCCATCCAATCCCTAAAAGAATAAAAAAGGTAAATACATTTCTTTTTCTAAAAAGGCTAATAACATTTAAGTAATCATTAACTCAAAATTATGTTATTGTTCTCCACCCTTCTTGAATAAACCCTTTTCTATAAAATAATAATAAACAAGAAATACAAATTTCACTAGGGTATGGGTTTTATATAGTTACATTAAAATACCTTTTCTTCTTCAAAATAAGGCATGCAATACTGAGAACTATTCATCATTAATTAATATGAAAGGTCAAAGGGGATGAGAAAAATGCATATGAAGCAGGCATACTGGTTAGATTTTCCCAGCTAACCAGTTTCCTATGTCCTGGAAACAGCCTGGACCAGCAGGACACTTTCTGCAAATGACCACCTGTGGCCACACCTGCAGAGCCCCAGGAAGGAAAATTCAGGCAGTTCTTCTGTTTCAACATAGTGTCCTAGGAAGGTTTATTGTTTAAAACTGGTGTTCCTTACTAGGCTTCAAAGATCCCTAAAGAATCTATGCCTTCTGCACAGCGGGCCTGTGAAGCTTCCAAAATTGGCTGTAAGATGGTGCATGCATGTATGTGCATTTTCTTCAGAAGAAAGGCCCTTGCTTACATAAAATTTCCAAAGAGATTAGGTCTTTAAGCGGAAGAATAAGATGAATATTTATTTTTCTGCAGATCTAAACATGTTCCTGTACTTCTGACCTGAAACTGGGAGCACACAAAGGACAACTAACCATCTTTCTGGAGAAATATAGATAAAAGAGCTGTACTTACTGGATCTCCAGGCAGGCTTTTCCCGGGAGGACCGGCCTCACCTTTTGGACCTGGGAGCCCAGGAGGGCCGATGATCCCACCTGCATCTCCCTGCGGAAAACACGGTATAAGATTCTTACTTCCTTGGCCAGGTTCATGGTGGGAGGTGTGGAGGCAGTGGTTTCCATTGACTTACATTGTCATTATAGCCAGTCAAACTTCATTCATTCACTCTTTCTACAATATTTAGGAAGTGCCTAATTCATGCTAGGCATTGTTCTAGCTATCTTAAGTGCATTTAGATTTTGTAGTGAGTTATGTTAACAATAAGTTTTGCAGTATCATGACTTATGTATGTGCATAAATATATGCACAATAAAGGAATTTATTCATAAAACTCATGAGCTGATCTTTATGCTTTCTTTAAATTAGTCCCCAGAAATGATTCAACACTAATATCCTATTTCTACATAGACATCAAGAAACAGGCCCTGAAAGATTGAGACTTCTTAGGTCCATATCAGAGGAAGCAGCTGAGTCTGAAGCAGACTTTCTGAGTCCTGAGATCTTCCTCTCTGAGTTAGTTCATTTTGTCAGATTGTGTTTTTATGCCAGGATCAGGGCTTCCACAAATGCATAAATTTATTCACTCCATGGTTTATATGGCTGTCACTTCTCTTCATAATCCTGATAGTTGAGTCCTGAGTCCTGTTCTTTCACTGCCCCAATGTCCTTTGACCCTCTGCTTCTTCCTCTGCCTTAGCCACTTAAGATGCACAACGAGTAAAATGGAAGCTATACCTTTTCTCCTTTAATGCCTTGTTTTCCTGGGATACCATGTTCTCCTGGCAACCCCTAGACAGTTTAGAATTAAATGGAAATAGAAATTAGAAAATCTCTTATTATAATGACACTAGAGGCCTGGTGCATAAAATTTATGTACAGGATGGGTGGTGGGTGTCCCTCAGCCCATCTGCACCCTCTCCAATATGGGACCCCATGGGGGAAGTCCGACTATCAGTTGGCCTGATCCCACAAGGATTCCAAAATCGGCAGTCGGACATCCGTCTCACAATCTGGGACTGCTGGGTCCTAACCACTTGCCTGCCTGCCTGCCTAATTGCCCCTAACCACTCTGCCTGACAACCTGATTTCCCCTAATTGCTTCCCTGCTGGCCTGACTGATGCCTAACTGCTCCCCTGCCAGCATGATTGCTCCTAACTGCTCTCCCCTGCTGGCCTGATCACCTTTAACTGCCCTTCCCTGCTGGTCTGATCATCCCCAATTGCCTTCCCCTGCAGGGCTGAGGATGCTGGGGGACTGAGGCTAGATGAGGCAGTGTTGATGGTACTTGGGACTGAGGCTGGATGGGGCAGAACTGAGGGGCCTGGACGTTGCCATCTTGTGGCTGTGGACACCATCATCTTGTGAGGGCATGGCAATCAATTAGCATATTCCCTCTTTATTGGCTGTGGGCACCACCATACCATCTTGTGAGGGTGTGATGGTCAATTAGCATATTCTCTCTTATTAGATAGGATTTTTATCTGAGTCTTTGTCAAGAAAACAGAATTTTAATAAATAAAGTGTGTGGGGATGGGCTGAATTTGATATTTTAGAGAGGAAACATTTTAGTGAAAGTATGTTGTTTCAAGGGAAATAACCATAGTGGAAAGAAACTAAACAGGGTAGAATTCAACCAAATATTGCCAAGAAGGAGTGGGATCATGATGATTGTAGTATCACATGATTCAGAAGGACAATAGGATAAATAGAAAAATATGCTTTAACTATATTTCAGCAATAGGGGTCCTTCCCCTTTTGATTTTGTTCTCTTTTTTTAGTTTCAGCCACTATTACTTCCCTTTACTTCATGGGCATCTTTTGGCTCCATCTGTGCCACCAACATTTTTTCTCTTTCCATAGGATCTCTTCACTAGGGACACCTGTAATGGTTCATTCACTGCCTTGGGGAATCAACAAAAAGCTTATCTCTATGAACTGAATGCTCAAAGTACTGAGCAGAACAAAATGCACTATAAGATAGACCTCTGGAGTATGCAAAACAGAGCAAGGGTTCATGGAGCTGTCTCCAAGGTGATGGCCTAAGGAGAGATTCTAATACTTGTTTAGAGGGTACTGGAATTGTGGCCAAACAGAGATCAGTTTTCAAGAAGATAGGGGCAAGCATTTTTCTTGTTTTGCTCAAATGAGGACTGATGGTATGTCTCAGTTCCAAAGGTGCTAGAAGGCTAAGGAGGTAGTTAGTCCAAGGGACAGAAGGCTTACTTGGAGGCATGTTTAAGGAGCATGTGTTTATGTGTGTGTGTGGGTGTGTGTGTGGGAGAGCGAGAGAGAGCGAGAGAGCGAGAGAGAGAGAGAGAGAGAGAGAGAGAGAGAGAGAGCGCGAATATGAATCCACTAAAGATAGTTTATAATGCAACCTGAGGACCTTTCTCTAATTGCATTATAGAACTATTTTCAGCCAAAAGACTTGTTCTTTTGGGAGGCTCACACAAGAAAGAACAACAGAACTATATATATATATATATATATATATATTATAAATATTATAATATATTTTATTGATTTTATACAGAGAGGAAGGGAGAGAGATAGAGAGTTAGAAAGATAGATGAGAGAGAGTCATCGATCAGCTGCCTCTTGCACACCCCCTACTGGGGATATGCCCACAACCAAGGTACATGCATGCCCTTGACCGGAATTGAACCCGGGACCCTTCAGTCCCCAAGCCGACGCTCTATCCATTGAGCCAAACCGGTCCCGGCAATAAATAAATAAATATATAAATATATATATATATATATATATATATATATATATATATATATATATTTTTTTTTTTTTTTAAATGGAGAACTGGACCAAGGCTAAGCATAATGGAAATGCTTGCTTTCTCTCTTGCTTTTCCTTATTTCTTTTGATACTTCCCATCTCCTTTACTATTGGTACACCAATGACAAGCATATAAAATGATAATTTAGTTAACATGTGTCCCAAGACAAATTTATTAGGCTATTGATATTAAAAAAGACCTCACATGAATATATGAAGGTACTGGCCTCCACAATAGCCCTTGACATTAGCTATGATAACTTTTTTTTTTTTAACAAGAGAAAAACAAATTTAATTACATACATATATATGGAAACCTCATATACATGAGTGTCAGAGACCCCACATACATGAATTATTTAGAGGCAGACAAGCAAAATGAGGTAGATATGACATTCTGAGCTAAGGAATGCAGTTAGACACAGGGAGCTATGATCACTTTAGTGGTAGAGATGACCTATGACTTTAAAAAATGCAGCAGAACTCGGTCAGTCACATGAACAGATGTTGAGATTCTTCAAAACAAGTCTCAGTCTCAATTTAATTTTCAAATATCAAAGACCCTTGTATCTACTAATACATACAATATCTCCAGGTGGTCCTCTGGGTCCCATAGAGCCTGCAGGTCCTTGCTGACCCTAAAGTAGAAGGTGACATGTACTTTTAACTGGCTAATAGAATGTACCTGAATATATATAAAACATGGTGTGACTTATATCTATAGAAATGTGGACCTTCCACCCTGCTACCTTCTCTGAATA